AAATGACCTAGGGATGGACAAAAGGGCCATTGAAAGGCAGGTGAGCCAAAACCAAAAAAAAAAAAAAAAAACACAAATGGTGGCGCCCGATTTGTGGTCCTTTCCCGACGTCCGCGTATCCGTGCAGGTGAAGGAGCTGAAGTCGCGCGTGGCCGACATGGAGGGACAGACGAGACCCTCGGCCGGCATCGCCGTGCTGGAAAGCAAAATTCAGGAGCTGGAAGAGAGGCTGCGCAGTGAGGAACGGTAAACATATCAAATAAGTCAGGAACGGGAATAAAATCAATACAAAAATACAAGGAGATGAGCTCTGTCAACACGACAGTAACTGGCTTGTTCTTTGTGTACAGAGAGAAGAGCGGCATCCAGGCTTCTCAGAGACGAACCGAGAGGAAACTGAAGGAGGTCAACGCCACGCTGGACCAGGAGAGGATCCAGCATGTAGAACAAAAGGATCAGGTCAGTCCATTCGACAGCCCGCATTGGCTAGTTGAACCAAGCGGCAGCAGAGCACACAAGTACATACTTCATCCCCTGGGGGGGGGGGGGGGGGTATTCATTTCATATTACCGTAGCTTAGTTGTGACTGTCATCTGTTTTTCCGTCAATCTAGCCTTCATGTCGACTGTGTGTCACACTGCCCTCTGGCGGCCAAGCCGCACACAACGGGTAATTTGCTGGATGAACCCTTGACGGTTCTGCACAGTAGTAGGATCATTTTTTTTAATCTGCATTCAATTCATTTTCCCAATTCCAACTCCATTTTCCAAAAAAAAAATGTCGCCTCCTCCAATGGTCACCGACTCTCCACGTCCCCCGCGAACTCTTCCTCCGTGTGCCCTCACCTTTTCCCCTCTGACCTTTTGCTTGCCTGTTTGCCCACAGCTGACCCTGCGCGTGAAGGCGCTCAAGCGGCAGGTGGACGAGAGCGAAGGGGAGGTGGAGCGTCTGGAAGGAGTACGCAGGAAGGTCCTGAGGGATCTGGAGGAGCAGCAGGAGCTCCAGGAGGCACTGCGGGCCAAAGTCACAGCCCTGGAATCGGAATTGAAGTAAATACCTTCCGTTGTCATGACCGGCCTTTTTTTTTTTTTTTTTTTTTTTTTAATTTGTTTTTTATTTCCCCCTCACTCAAAAAAATCAGACGGAAGGCACAGCACTCTCATCGCAGCACTTTGGCCACGCTGAGCTCCGAGGACGACGACGCCTTCTACGACGTCAACGTTGCCGCCATCTTGAATGAGAGTCACCACCAAGGCTCCAACTGTTAAGAGCCGCCCCTGGCTCGGTGCTTTCATTTCTAGTCAAGATGCGCGGGGGGGTTGACTGAATAATGAAGTCCGCTTCACCTGCGACCATGTCATCACTCCCCCAATACCCACTTTTTTTTTCTTTTTGCGAGAGACTGAAGTTTACTTTTCACAAACGATCACTGTTGTTGCTCAAAGTCATACTTTTTTGCAGATTTACATTTTTCTTCTACTTTTTTAAAGGAAAATCCCCCTCAGACAGTTGATTTTTATCTCACAAAATTAGAGCTGCTTGCTTGTAAAATCTTCAAATTTTCAACGTAATTCTCCCCCTAAACCTTTCTTGTGAAATTTAGACTTACAGTACATTTTTTTTCAACTTTTTTTTTTTTTTTCTTTCTTGCAAAGCATTTTGCTCGTCAACCATCTCTGTCCGGACTGTTTTGACAGAATATTTTTGGCTCTATGTGTTCATGCATGTGTTTGTTTTTGTAATGAAAGTGAAGTGATGTCCTATTTCATGTTTTTACAATACAATTTGTATGCGACTCTCCTGGGCGTTTAGAATCATCTGAGCCTACGCTGGACACTGTATTTACTGTGTATATTATTCAAGACAATCACACACATCGGCACTGTGACTGTAATTCTATTTTGGACCCAAATATGAAATGTATGTTTTCACTTGGAGGGCCTTCGAAATGATGTTTGTCCCAGCATTTTGTTTGTTTGCTGCTTCTGTGTTGCACATGCTTGCGTCTTATTGTACATCATTGGAAGGATTTGCTTTTATTGCTGTTGTGAATCATGTTTAGAAGGTAAAAAAAAAAAAAACAACGTGATAAATCGCTGCAATTTTAGCAGATATTTAAAGTCAACTTTGACTAATAAAATAGTACGTCATGTATTTTTTTTTCTCAGTTTTGTTTGTTTGGGCGTTCTATTCAGAGCAATGTGGTTGTAATCCTTAATGAGCTTTACGGTAATTACTCAAGACATCAAGCTGCCGACATGACGCCTCACCAATCCGGTCTCCTCCAGAGGGTTTGAGAACGTTCCCATCACATTAGAAGAGTGCGTTTTGGATCCAACGGAGCTGAATGTCAACAGCCCAGCTGTGAACATCAAACAACAGACAACAAAAAAGTGGAACAAACACCGAAACAACATTTCATCATCTGACTTGTGAATAGTCTGATCGAAACACCCACACAAGGCGCCTTCATCCGAGTACAAACAAGCTTTATCTTCTGCTGGAGCGGCCGTTCTTAATCACAAGCTGAAAATGGAGTCAAGATCACTCGCCTGCGTATCTCAAGGTAAACGAGTTTGGCACTAGTGAGGTAAATAAAGCAGGAGAACGCTTATCCTATTTGCAGGTCACAATACAGAATTAAGTCGGGTAACATGTTGCAGGCGGCTGGCGTTGACGTTTGTTCTACGGAAAAATGTGACCGATAGTTACTGGGGGGGGGGAGAAAAGCTATCGCTATTGAGAGGACATGCTGTCGTTTTGGAAGAAGTTGGGGCAGGGCCCCGAGGGCCGGATGCGGTGGTGGACTAACACGCAACGCAAACGTTTGACGCGGGCAGCTGATGTCAACTTTTCTCAGGTCAGGAAACGACTTTCAAATGTTGTTTGAAATCTTGGATTTGTTTGAAAAGTGCTCTCAAATATTGGCCCAACGGTTGTCCATTAATTTTCTCTTTGTCAAAGCTATTTTACGTAACTGGCCAGACGTGTGCTATGGGAATGATTCACGTACATGTTCAAAAAAACCTTTTTTTTTTAAATCTTGTACCATACATTTGTTAAATACACTTCAGTTGTAAAAGCATCTACCCCCCCAAAAATATGGCACAAAAATTAGACAAATATTAGAACAAATACACATTTTCCGATATTTAAGCACTGTTAATATGCTCAACGTCACAGCTCCTTCCAATAAGACTCGACTTACATTGTTCATCACGACACACTGCGCTTAAATGAATGATACAATCCATTTTAGGAGCAGCGACCCACAGTTTGGAGACCACCCCCAGTCCACCCCCCCTTGAAAAATTTGTACGTATTTTGCGGTCTTGCATAACTTCAGAACCCCTGGCCGTTGAAATAACCGACTGTCACAGGAAAAAGTGAAAAGAATCCACAGGGAATGGCCTTAGCCGATGTCATCAAGAATCTTGTTGACATGGCAACGTGACACGAGGCTAGTCTTGAAGTCAAAGAACACCTGCAAGGTTCGACTTGCACCTGGACACGCTGTGCGCACACACGAACAAACACGTCATGGATCTCATACCGTCACCTCCTCACTTTACAAGCGTCTCACTCACCTTGTGTGTGTGTCTCTCTTTTTCCACGCCGCGTGGATAAGATGACCGGCGGGGAGACAGACGACGGCCACCAGCCGAGGAGGAGCACCGTGAGTAATAATTTAAGCTTAGGCTAACCAGCGAACTCGACTAACTCCTCCAACTAGTTAACTCCACTGGGCTAGCCACTTATTCCAAATGTGTCGCCGTTTAACGATAATTTGAACATTTTTAATGTCTGGGCGGCACCTTCCGAATTACAATAATGAGCAAATCAATAAATAAGTCAATGAAGCGTAGCGAGCTGCAGCCCTTTGCTAACGTTTGAATGTTCGTTTTTCATGTTTCATAAGTTGGCTAACCTTTTTGTTTTTAAGATAGTTGTTTATTTAAAAAAAACATATACAATAACTAACTAAAATGAGGCTCGTCTAATGACTATCTATTCTCATGAATATTTGTTAAATTGTTCGTTGTTTGTTTTCTATTACGTCATGGCTGGTGTTTTTGTTTTGTTTCTAGAGTTAGAAACACAAGACAACACATTCACAAATATTGCGAAAAGAAATAGACCCATACTGTGTATTCTTAAAATTAAAAGCACATGAGGGGAGGAATACCAAAATGCTAGCCCCCCTCAAAAAAAAAAAAAACAAAAAAAAAAAAACACATAAAATATTTAAAAATGATGTCCAAATATTTGTATTGTTCTCAACAATATGCAGGATGTGATCATGTTTTTTTTCCACAGTTACATTTTTGTCTAACACATAAAACGTTTGACTCAAGTACATTCAGTCACAGCTCACCTTTTTTTTTTTTTAATCATCAGCTGTTTTTATATGCAATGATATCATATTTATTCAAAAAGAATCATTTTTATCAGACCTCTCGAACTAGAAACAAGTCTTGTACTTACTCCATGTCTGGAATCAATCGGTTTTTGCCTTAATTTTATTTTCCCATAGCCCGATTGTGTCAGTGTGTGTCACACGCTTTGGTTTGTTTATTAACTAAGTGGGGATGTGTCACTCTATGTACTGTTCTGAATTTTCACTGGATCGATGTCAAAATGAAAGCAGAGGAACCCTTTTCCCGTCAGTGCCCACTTTGGTGATTATTCATCTTATGTAATGTTGATGCGGTTTAGGCCGATTCCACCCCGGAGCCACGTTCTGACTAGTTACAGTTACTCGAAATGTTCAAGTGCCGTTTTAGAACTCTTCTCTGGTTTCTCTCTACGTTTTCTTTTGGAGAGAGTGCCGAGGCTTGACGGATGGGAATGGCAACAGTCACAAACATGGTAATCTCGTCTCATTCGGATGAGTCACATTTTAACCACTCTGCTCGTTTTGAGGCATGTTTGTGCTCCCTCAAACGCTTTGTGGATCCTCAAAGAAGAATGTCGCCACTTGCGTCATCCCAATCACACAACACAACCACAATTACTTTAGTTACCGTTTGCTGTGAAAGATTGAACTGCCGTTGCTAACCAAAGCAGCAGCATGTAAATGATGTCATGACAGTCATAATGTTAAAAAAATCTCATACGGCAGTGATTAAAAAATGGCATTCTTCTGCGCTTAAAGTTTCTCTTTTTTTCCCCTTTTGAAGAATTGCCGTCGTTTTCTCCTCATATTACGTGGCGCACTCAAGACAATGAGGCGTACTTCATCTATTTTTGTATCCAATGTTATATTTCAATGTTTTTTTAAAATAAGAAAAAGCATAATTTTTAGTGCGCACACTGGTATTTATTTATTTTTTTATCATGGCATTTTCTTTCTCTTAAAATGATGACTTTATTCCTCCTAATTCCTTAGTATTTTTTCCTTATATTTTTACCCCAACAATGACAGCTTTTTTTTTTCACTTGGGAAAAAAATGCCACCGTTTTCGACTTATTCAACGCCTTGGCTTATGTTTTGTTGAATGTTGTTTTATAATGAAGCTCGGCATTGATCAACAGTGTGTTTGCTGCCTTAAGCCGTTGTATAAATATGTGTTTTGCTGACTGCGGGCATGAATGAACAATTAGAAACTGTCCAGGAAGTACACTGACGAGCACGGGCAAATACAGTCATGCCACTGAGGGATTAGCGGCCAGGATGAAACATTTGAGGAAAACTCCCTGTTCCTTTATTGCCTACATTTTTGAGGGCTGTGCGCGGGTGCTTTGATTTCTTGGACGATTAACATTTAGGCATCCTGGACGTGTTGTGTCAACAGAGACTTGACACTCGATCCACAGACTGGCCTTGTGTTGGGGGTTTCAGGTGAAAATATCCCCCCCAAATAGTGTTGGGCATTCAAACGATGCCAGGAGAGCCAAAGAAAAAGCTAAAAATTTGAATCAGGGGTGGGACACTGGCATAGCGATAGCATAGCAACAAAAAATGGCAGGGTTGCGATGAAAGTGCGAGCCCGGCAATCCAACGTGGGACACGTCTTTGTCGAGTACCATAGAGCTCGGTCGACAAATCAAAAAGCGATGACGACCATACAACAGGAAGTTGGGGCCTCGTGGCAGCATAGCGGCCAAAGCGCTCTCTTTGCAAGTATACTCTGGCTAAGTTGACAAGTGAAATATAAAAAAAAAAAAAATCAAGACCACACAAAGAGAAATGGTGGATTAGCATTTGCGCTACTCTGAAAAATGTCAGCGTCGCCGAGTGTCGTTTGTACACCGATTATTTCCCATGGGAGAAAAGTGGATTCAGGACATGAACGTCTTGCTTGTTGCGCCAAGAATCCTAGAAAAAAAACAGTGACATGCCGGTGCAGCGGCGGCGGTTGACATTTAGTTTGCTTGCTCGGTTGTGTGTTGACACTGCACACACACGTTTGTGTGTGTTGGTGACTGATAAAAAGACACCCCATTAATCTCTCTTATGTAATACATTCCTCACCGTGTCGCCATTTACAAGCCCCCACCGTCACCTGGCTACTCTAATGTATCCCGATAATAAGACGAACGAATGCATGTACTGTAGTCCAGCCATCGCGTGTAGTGACCAGTGCCGTCCTGCAGGGGATGCTGTCGCAACCCAAGCACGAAACAATCCGCAGACAAAACAGGGTTGGGCAGCTCACTGGAAAGCCTCACCCACTCATTTAAGGCAGTAAGTCAGGCTTCCCACGCTCTGACTTGTACACACACACACACACACACACACACTCACGCCGGCTGTCTGGATCGCAGCTCTCCTGGTCCATGTCAAGAAGACCGCCGTGGTATTCGTCTCTGAACAGGTAGAAGACATTGTTTGGGTTTTTTGGGTGGGGGGGGCAGTCAGTCATGAACTGTGTGTGAATGCTGAGCGATGGCGTTGAAAATGAGTAAGCGTGGAAATATCAAAGCGTAGCGCGGCAGTCTCAAGATTCCTTTGTTGGAAAGAGAGATCAACAGATCTTTGCCTAACGTTGCGACGACGTTTGTTCATTTTTGATGTTCTGCCGCAAAGCCAATTTTTATCTTTTTTGTTTTTATTTTGTACTCTGAAAACCAACCCCAAATGCTTCATGGTGACCGTTTCAATTACTCCCTTCTCATGCAATGGACTCGTCCATCTTGGCGTGCATGTGCAGACTTGGGAAGACGCCAGCAAAACAAAATTAGCAACTCGTTGTGTAAGTGCGAGAAATGGTTTATCTATTCATGCCCTGTAATTGAATGGCGACCAGTCAAATTCAATTCACCTCTTCCCACTTTGTGCATTTTAGGTTCATCCTGAAGTTTCACCCCTCGGGCTAATATCTCAAACGTCTTACGTAACAAACTGGCGGCCGCGTTTCAAAACATCGTCTCTCGATAAAGAAAGCCAATTCGCGATCGGCGGTAGGTGTGAGGGCCGTCAATCGCCGACTGTCACAGGTGTGCAATTTTCCAGCTCCGCATAGTTTGCTGTGTCGTCGCCTTCGAGTCTCGGACAAATTCCGAAACAGCAACCAGCGAGAGATAGCTGGAATTCACGCGCTGGCGCGAACGCTGTCGCTGCGCTCGTTGTCACAAATGTTGATGGACGGCCGGTGAATCCCCGGCGCCACATTTGCTGCTCACGTGCGAAAAATCACACGTGCCTCCCAACTTGTTAGGTGATGTTTTTAGGCTCCCTGTGTCTCGGCGCCACGTCAGAAAGCACAATTATTTCCTGGATGCTCCTTTCACTGACAAAGTAGTCGTCCGACGAGTCTTATGTCACTCAACATTCGCTGAGCGCAACGCAAACGTAAACACCGTCTGGGTCATCCAGGAAGTTGCGTCAGCGCGCGAAAGCCTCCCAGCGCCTCCTCGCTGATGGTTTTTGCAGGTTTCACTTCGCCGTCACTCAAACCCAAATAGTTAAGACGACAGCCGAAGCCCAAAGCCGGCCTCAAGTATGCGGCGCTACTTCAATGCCGCCCGATACAATGATTGCGTTCCATTCCCGCCAGGAATGGAACGCAATGTTCTGCTGGAGAAAACCGCCATGACCTCACCTGACACGCAAGCAATTAAGCTCGCACATCAATCATCGCTTTTGTCAGTGCGTATTTCGCCGCAGGATTCTTGCGCTTGTCTGCAGTCTCGTGTTGTCAAAAGCGCCCACGACAGTCGACGAGGAAATCGTGGAAATGGGATTCGTCGCTCAGATTAGCCGTGCCGAGGTGCAGGGTTTGATTCCGGCTCGGGCCTTCATGCGTGGAGTTTGCATGTTCTCCCCGGGCCTGCGTGGCTTTTCTGCGGGTACTCCGGTTTCCTCCCACATTCCAAAGACATGCACGGCAGGCTGATTGAACGCCCTAAATTGTCCCGTGGTGTGATTATGGCTGCGAATGGTTGTTTGTCTATGTGTGCCCTGCAATTGATCGGCAACTGGTTCAGGGTGTCCCTCGCTGAAGACGGCTGGGATAGGCTCCAGCACCCCCCCGCCACCTTTGTGAGGACAAAACGGATTAGAAAACAGATGGCGGGATGGTTCGTGAACTTCTGTTTCTAACATGAGCTCATGATGGCTGGAACCCCCCCCCCCCCCCCCCCCCCCCCCCCCACACTGAAGTAGTGACTTAGCTTGATATTTTCACGCAATTTGAGCCAATGCGTGCTAACAAATGAACGACAAGTTGCCAATTTGGCAGCCGTCTCGACCTTCCTTTGTACTGTTTTTTTGTTTGTGTTTTTTTACGGCTAATTACGCTTAGCCTAGCGCTTGGCTTTGTAACGCTCACGCTTCAACTTAACGGCCTAACAGGGCATGCGGGGCGGGGAATGTGTCATCGCGGGTGTCCGCGGTTGTTTAGTCTGCGGGGGTATGGTGCGAAACGTTGCCGTGATTTCCACTCGGGTGACGTAACTTGGGGGATTTGAGACCCCTCTTGGACTTTCTGAACGATGCGGCGTGCGGCTGCCAAACTTGTGAAAGTAGCTGAGAAAATGCTGACCTCGGAGCATGTGCCTGCCTGTGTTTCCGTGTCCTAAAGTGTGTTGTGACCACAAACAATGCATCACTGCAGTGCAAACGCATTTTTTTGTTTGTGTTACTTTTGCCGCCATTACCGGGTCATTATTTCTGCAGCCGACGCCCAGAGAATTATCACAATTAATGCGCCTTTGGTTCACACACACACGTAGAGATGGCGCAAGTACTCGAGCTCTGTACTTACTTGGATGTAGAAGTACGGATAGTTATGTTTAAAAAAAAAAAAAGAAAAGAAATCTACTTTTCCAAAAATCTCAAGATTTTAAAGAGAAAAAATTGTGGATTTTTTTTTTCTTTTTCAAGATGAAGATGCATTTCTTTGAAGCGAGAAGTCCTTTTTGAACGCGTTGGCTCAAGCTTTGATGCTATGTTGCCATATCCCATGACTTAAAAAAAAATGCTCTGTCTGCTGCCCTGCGATTGGCTGGCAAGCGGTTCAGGGTGTCCCCCGCCTACTGCCCGAAAACAGCTGGGATAGAGCGACTGAAAAAAAAATAACGTTAATGTGAATTTCAACGAAAAGAAGACAAAAGTGATGGTGTTTGGTCCTCGTGGCCCTTGTCCATCCCATCCGGCCGACTTGGTCCCCCCCGGCTCCTTATCTCAAGCCAACAGCCTCCAACTTGGGCCTTGCACCGAACAGTGATTTGAAATTGGAGCGGCAAATTGGTGCCGTTGTCAACTGCAGCTTCTTTCATCTTCGGCAGCCTCTCCTTTCTCGGGAGCACTTTGAAATAGTCATTTCATGCCTTTGTCGCATCTCGGCCCGGTTACTGTCATGCTCTTGACTTTGGAGTCAGACGATCCTCCACGGAGCGTCTCCAGGTGGTCCAAAATGCTGCCGCTCGCCTCTCGACTGGTACTGGTAAGAGGGAGCAGAGAACTCCGACTCTGGTGTCTCTCGGAGCTCCTCCGCCCCTGCCCGCTGCCTCAGATCTGCGCAGCGGACACTTTTAGAGGTCGCGAGAACTAAACAGCAGCTCAGGGAGGATGGAGCGTTTGCAGTTGCCGCTCCCTCTCTTTGGAATGAACGTTGGGCCCAGCTTTCAAACTCGTCTTTTTTATCCTTTGGCTTTTGAGTCAGCATGAGACGGGATTTTTCGTTTGACTGGTTTCGTGCTTTCTCCCGTCTTTGTTATTCATGTATTGTGTGATTGTTTGTTCTTGTAGGAGTTCCTCTTGCTCCATGGACAGCACTTTGTACGCGGCGACGGTTGTTTAGAAGTGCTTGAGAAATGCACTTGAGTTGAGTTGAGTTTTTTTCAAACTACAAGGAGGATTTTACTTCGCCCTTGTCAAAAGTCCACCGTTTCAAAGTGTTACGGCTTTGAAAACTGGGGAAGCGATCGTCCGCCTCTCGGCATCGAGCCCGTGATCAACGAGTTGCCACAGCGGACGGCTTCCAATTGAAAACCGTCGATAAGATCGAAAGCGCAAAGCCAGACGGACTTCTTACGTAACCCCTGCGCGCGAGTTTTCTTTGCGCATTCAAGAGAAAAGCTGCTCTGAAGTCATTCTTTGCATGTTGACAGGCCGGGCGTTCCCCCGAGAGGCCTGCGCTCCTTCACTGTGGCCACCGTCAAGTATGCAAATACATCGAGGGCCGTCGTGACGAGTGTTTAGTGAGAGGAAATCCACCTTTTCATGGCTGTGTGCGGAGGTGTGCCGCTTTTGTGGAGACGCAATTTGACTTTGTCTTTTGAATTGTGGGCATCGATGCGTGCGCTTTGGTCGTTCCTCAGGTGCTCTTTTGTCTCGTTTCGAGCCGACGGTAGAAATTTCGCAAGATCTCCTGAGATTTATTGTCTTTCACAGTGAGAAAAAGCCACTAAAATGGGAAAACACATCCAATGTATTTTGCGCAGTCAAGCAGGACTGAGCTATGCTGATGTCTCGGGGTCGGGGGCGGAGTTGACCTTTTTTTGCTCGCCGAATGCCGAATTGTTGTCGTATCTTTATACAATTTGGAAAGGAAAAAAAAAATCTTGGATGCTCGCTGAACTGAGCTCATGTTTGTCATCGTTTTATTCAGCGTGATTTCAATCGCAGTCAAAATAATCTGGATTATTATTATTTCCATCATCGTCCGGCCCGATTTGCAAGGCATATTTTGATCAGTACAGCAAAAAAAAAAAAAAAAAAAAAAAAGGCCCAACATATCTGTTATTTCTAACTGAACTCAGTTCTCGTTGGCGATGCCGAAGTCTTGCAGGCCATCAGAAAATACTTATTTTGACATTTGTGTCTCACACACCCACACACAAAAAAAACAGCCTAGCACGAGCCCAAGGTTGATCTGTTGCTCCTTTCAAAACGTCGCTTGACATACTTTCTGCTGAAAATGTCACACCAAATCCCCAAACAAGTACTTGTATTATTCTTATCGCCATGGTAACCGGTGTGTTGTTGTTGTGACGGCACGGGTGGCCTGATTGTTTTTGCTCCTCCGGTGCCTCGTGACTTTGCCCAAAGGGTGTAAACGTGCCCTTATTATGGGTTGCCCGGCAGCCGCTGTCACGCCACTACGCATCCTCCATAGCGGGAAGCTTCGGGGCAATCACATGTCCCCCTCCCGACCCCCTCCCCCTGTTCAAGCTCCGCCCCTTTGCCTTTTTCTTTTCTCCGGGGTCCACTTATTTCCCACATCTGCCTCGCAGGACAGCGGCGACGCATCGGTGCCGCAGAGGAATCCGAACCAGCGGGTCGGAACGGCCCAGCCGGTCACTCGCTCGGAGGAAAGCGTGAAAGTCATCAAAGTGCGTGAGTTGTTTTTGTTTCGCTGGCTTTGGCGAGCGGCGTGGAACACGGTGTTGACGTCGCCGCGTCGCGTGTCGCAGGTGTACCTGGACGGCGGACCCGAGACGGCGGACAGCGTCAGGATGTTGACGGATGAGGTGTCTCAGATACAGGAGGTGAGGCGGGGGGTGGGGGGCGTCGCCCCGCAGCTTTCAACGCGGGCTCGGCTGAGGAAGGCATTGACGTGTGATGCGCTGTTTGCTGACACGTCAGGTCAGGTATTGTCTCAAGACCCTGAGAGAGCAGATGGCGGCCAGACAAAACGGAAACATCAAGAAGGTAAGTCGGGAGACAAAAAGAAGATGGATGGGACGCGCTCATGTCGATGAGTGATGATTAAGGTGTGGACTTGTTTTCTTCTTCAGTATCCCACCAATGGCTACACAGTCAACAACCCGACACCCGTCGCCAATGGCAACAACATTTACGACGACACTAACCATGATGTAAGATCATTTACAGTCCTTGCCTGTGTGCGTGCGTGTCTGTTTTTCGGCGTGCGCGTGTGTGTGTGTGTGTGTGTGTGTGTGTGTGTGTGTGTGTGTGTTCTTCCTATCCATTAGAGAAAAAAAACGATGAAGCGCATTCAAATGATGACAGAAAGAAGATCCACTCATGTCCGGATGTTTGTGGCTCACACGCACAGGCGGATGCGCACACAATCCTCTTTCCGATACACTGAAACGTCTCAGCCAAGCTAACGTAGAATTCCGCGCCATCGCTCCAACACGAACTGAAATTGAAAATCGCCGCTTCTCATCACATGCTTTTGTGCCTCCTCAGGAGGGTGACGATAATCAGGTGCAGTACCTGAGGGAGGAAACCAAGCGCCTCTACGCGCAGATGAAAGACATGGAACGTCGGCACCGGGAGGAGAGAGAACGGCTGCAGGTGTGTAAGTGTGTATTTGTGTGTGTGTGGTAAGGATTTGCTATTTGAGTTTCGATTATCAAAGGCATGTTAGGTTCGGTTCACGCTAGGCTAGGTTAGGCTAACACATTTCTGGAACAGTGAAAGTTGTGAAGAGGGAGTCTTCTTCCTTGGCAGATGGAGTCGGAGGAGCAGCGGGCGCGTCTGGAGGCGCAGTCGGAGCGTCTCCAGCGGGCGGAGACGGAGTCGGCGGAGCGAGGCCGGCGGTTGGAGGAGCTGCAAAGGTTGCTGGGAAACATGGAGGCCGAGAGCGGACTCCTGAGGGACAAAATGGCCGCCGACGAGGCCGAGTTACTGCGGCTTCAGGCGGACAACGGCGAAGGAAAGGAGAAAGAGGACAGGTCGCAAAACCGTGTGTGTGTGTGTGTGTCTGTGTGTGTGTAAGTGTGCATGTTGTACTGAATGTCCGTAATGTGAAGTTGGTGTTTGTGTCAGAAAGATATGGGTCTAGTCGTGTGTGTGTGTGTGTGTGTGTGCATGTAGTACTAACAATGTGCGTTCGTGTTTTCAGATGTGGCCAGTTGGAGACGGAGGTGGCCGTTCTGAAGGAAAAGATCCACCACCTGGACGACATGCTTAAGAGTCAACAGAGGAAAGTGCGACACATGATTGAACAGGTACACATTATCACACACACGCACACAAGCTCTTCACATTTCAAGTACTCAGGAAGCCATTAGTGAGGAAATTACATTCGGAAGAACATAAAGTAATTGTGTGTTGAAATCAAACTCCTTCATTAGCCAGCCGTTGCCAAATCAGCCTGACATGTTTGTGTGTGTGCGCGCACGGTACAGCTGCAGAACTCCCGCACCGTCCTCCAGGAGCGAGATCGAGTCATCGGGGATCTGGAGGAGAAGGTTGCCTTCCTGGAAGCCGAGGTCAGACCATAAAAAGTGGACCCCCTAATTAAACCTCGCCCAAATTACTACTCTTTTAACTCCTGAGCTTCTTTATACCCTTTTCGAAAATGTCAACAGAACCGAGAGATGCAAGACCACATGGAGCACTTCCTGGCAGGCCGGGACCCGCCGCCGCTCAAGAGCGCCGAGAACAAGCCGGTCATCATCTACAGGTGGGCGACACTTCCTGTTTGCCGGTCATGATAATCAACAAAAACCCGTTTTAATGTCAAACTCACTTTTTTTTTTTTAAGCAAACCTCTGATGCCGTCCACACACAACAACAAGTCCCTCCCCTTCATCAAAGTCATCGAGATCAAGTCGTGAATGACGGACAGCGATTAATCACAAAGTGTAAATATGTATTTAACCAGTGATTTGCATCTCACTCCTCCTAATTGCCCCCCCCCCAAACACTGAATCAAGTGCACGTTTAAAAACAGTATCGTCATGATAGCGTAATCCAGTCACTCCTGGTCCTGAGTGTGAATTTACAGCAACTGTTGATTGATCACCACTGAAGTGCGCTCACTGTGTTTGCATTGACGTTTGTGTACGAAATCAGTGAATAAATTGGATTGAAAGGCAAAAACATTTTAGCTATCTTGGGAACTGAGACACACATTTCAATGACTTGAAAATTTCAAGTGTTGGGGGGGGGGACACTGTACACAAAACAATAAAGAAACTATATAAGAATAAAGTCGTAATCCTGTGAGAAAAAAAAGTATTTTTTTTTGTTTTCAAGAAATCCGAATCCTTCACGGCTCACAACTTATCTGGAAAAGTTTTTTTTGAGAATTCACCTCTTTGGAAAAGTGGTCAAAATCTTTTCTAACAAATGTATTATGCACATCAGATTTTTTTTTACACATTCCGATGAAATTAGTCATTTTCTGTATTTATTGAAAGGCGAATGCCAAAGCCTTGAGGCAATCCTGCAGTGCCATCTAGTGGACTTAAAGAAAACATTGATGACTAACTTGAAACTGAAATACATTTGTACGAGTCAACATTGTCATCTGAGGTGACGCACCAATAAATTTGATTTACAAAAATGTTACCACAACCCCCCCCCCCCCACACACACAAAATGCTCTAATTACTGTGTACCTATACACATAAAAACACAGACAGTTCAGTCACAAAGTGCTTTCCAGCGTATTGTAGTTGTCTTTGAAACTCTTGAGCTCCAGGAAGTGTTTGGGCCTTTTGCTGCGCGGGCCAGTCGAAGGCAGGTAGGTCACCTGGATGGTGGATGGAGCGTTGCAGGCTGGAGAACCCGTCAGGTCCTTAGCCGCAGATTGATGCTGCTGCTCCAATGTGCTGCTGCTCCAGTACGCCTTCACGCTGAAAGGGAAAGTGCAACAAAATGAATCGAAATACACTCACAAAAACAAATGATGGTTCCTTGCCCCATAAATTTAAATGTGAGTACTACGTACACATCTGCTAATTCGCTCAGCGCCTGCTGGTATTCCAGAAATTCCGCTTCTCCGAACACCTGAAACGTGATGAGGGAATGTGAGACGGCAGCCGAAACGGAGCGCTAAACACACCTGGCCGTGTGGAGTATGCACCCCGGTGCCGTGGCGGGCGCTGTCGTAGCCCTCCAGCAGACGGTCGATGAGCGTGCCACGGCTGCTCTTGATCAGCGAGTGTGAGTTGCGCAGCTCCAGGAGCCAGCTCCGGAACCTGCGGCCTGTGAAGGCGCTGGGGCTGCTGCACATCTCCTCCAGAGGGATGCCTGACCACGAAGAAATGTGTGATGAAGAATATGAAAGGATGAAGGTGTGCATCGATTTGTGAGTCTCTCACCAGAGTCCTTAATGGCATCCAGGGCTTTCATTCTGTATATGTAGTTATAGCAACCTGCAAGATACCACTTAGTTACACTGATGCTTCTTTCAAAATGGATGCAAGGGCTTGCAGGAACTCACTGAGTTGTGATCCGCGCCTGAGCCTGGCATCGTTTTCGGGGAGGAGACGAGGTTCGAACCGGATCTCGTGAACTTTCAACAACCGGGAGTCGATCTGCTCTCGCAGACCCTGTTCGAAACAAATTAAATGCAACTCTCTCTCTCTCTCTCTCTCTCTATATATATATATATATATATATATATATATATATATATATATATATATATACACATACATACATACAGGACGTCTCTCACACGCACATATACACACACACATATATATGTATATGTGTGTGAGAGAGGCGCCCTATTGATATTTTTTGCTTTTTCTTTACCTTTGGAGCATTGTGGCCAATTGGCGCGTGTGGGCCGCGGCGGGATCTCATGGCAAAACGCATAATTTGCCTTTTGACGAAGATGAAGAGCAGCACGAACACCTGTCATAACACAACGTTAGCATATCCACATCTACACAAGACCGAATTGTCTATTTCACTCACCAAGCTGCCATACGCCATCACCAGAACCACATTAACCCCCGATAGCGGCGGCGAGTCTGCCATGTTAGCACCAACTTGTTCGGAAACGTTGTTGCTTTACAGTACTTTACAAGCGAGCTACATTAGCTCGCTAGTTAGCATGTCGCTACCTCCCAAGCGAAAGTAGTCTCCTAATGGGCAAAACTAAAGCTATTTTCAAAATTCGTTTTTATGACGCTATCTATGGCTATGCGATAATAGTGTAACATCTTCGGTTGATTTCGTCGAGCTACGCGGCGAACAGCGACTCGATTTTCGGCTAAGATAGCTAGCTCAACACTGGCGTTGGTTGCATCACAATTACCGCAATTGCAGTGAAAAGGGGGCACTCTGAAACTTAATTGATCTGGATTTAGTTCATATTGTGGTGCATTACGGTTTAAACCCATATGCATGCATTTATATAATACTAATTTATTTCGTTCTGTGTTTATATAGTGTACATTATATTTCATTATAAATGTGCATAACACAATATTTTATGGATGCAACGCAAAATTACCACCAATGCTCTCGTCCATGCATTCTTTTTGTATATCGAAAATAAAATAAATGCATTTGTTCTTCAACGAGACTCGTACTAACATTCGCCGGCACATTTTATCTTTGATGCGCATCAGTCGCAATGACATGTCACCGGCCAGGGGTGACAAATATTTACCCCCAAAATAAAGCTTTATTAGTTTGTGATCACATGTTTGTTGGTCCACTTTCCTCCAAGCACTTTAGAGTGCAGCGGTACACCACATGACACAGCTCTCCGTGGTGTCAGAGTGGAAGAGAAACAGGTAGACTTCGGTTGTTGTAACGTGTTATGACGGGGGGGACCAACTTTCGTGTGCTTAGTTTTTTCTCGTGGGGAAGTGGGGAGAGGACGATTGAGCTTGTTGTGTTCAAAATATAGTGTCTAGCACGGTCGAGAAACTACACTACTTGTCGACCGGTATCTTGTCCAGACTGGAGCCGGGTTCCTGGTCAGTACGGTGGCGTTTATTGTCATTTTTAGGAGGGGGAGTGGGGGCGAACGTATGCCTTGTCTTTAAACCCTTTAACCAGTTTTTATCCGTCTACGCAAAGAGTGCCCGACAATATTATGGCAGTGTGGTCTTTATATCGCTGCGAAGCTAACTAGTTAGCCTTTAGCCGTTAGCCACGTCCAGTTAGTTTGTTAACCTAGCGTGGCTAAGTCCTTAGCATCTAACTAGTGGGGTGATTACGTTTTTCGGGGGTCGGTCAAGTTTTACACGGAGACATAATTAATCGAATTCAGGTAGATGAGTAAGTAGCTTTTGCGCAAATCAGATGTATATGTTTAGCATTGACTTGTTTGCGTGGAATTAGACACTCGCGAGCTAACGTTAGCCCCGTGCTAAAAGTTAGCCTCGTCGCCATGAGGTGTAGCCGCTCGAGGCGGAAGCCCAGCAAGACTTCAAAGCTTGATGCTTTTCACCCCCTCCCCCATTTATTCCACATTTGATCTCTCTTTTTTTCCATAAATAAATCGACTTGGTTGATAAGGTGAACGGGCCTCGGCGTCAGGCTTGCTTGGTTGTTTGTGTGTGTGTGTCAGTCCAAGCCGAGCTTTTTACGTAACGTGTGCGAGATTAAGCCGTCGTTTTCGATAACGAGGTTGGCAGCGCAACAAAAAGGCACAAATGTGATTGCCCCCTGACTGTCTTAGCTGTCCCCTTAAAGTGTGTCTGCTAATGCTTTTCGATTGTGATAACGGCTACTACTTCACACAGTGCACCAGTGATGTGACTTTCGTTTTTGGCAGTGATGTTTTGACTTGTAAACAAGACGTTGCGCACTTGCTGTGTTGTACCTTGGAGCCTGATCTCATGTGTCTCACACCTCTTGCCTTGCGTTTGTGTTGTGTTACTGGAAGTGTGTGATGAGGTCACTCAGATCTCTCTCTCTCTCTCTGTCTCGCTATTTCTTTCCTCAGGTGTGATTCCTTGTAAATAACTTGTTTGTTTGTATATACTGTAAATGATGACGTCCATGGGCGGAAACCGGGCCCGGGGCAGCTGGGAACAGACGCAGCAAGGCCAGACGCAGGGTCAGACACAGCACAAGCAAAGGCCTCAGGTACGCCCTTGTTCACGTCCGTTCAAGTAAAAGTGGAATGTCCAATGTTGACACCACCCAGAAGTGGAAAAATACGCCTAAAGAGTCAAGAAGAAATTGAATTCCGTCCTCAAGTGAGGTTGTGAATGAACTTTGCTCTCAGACTGCCTTTTTTCATGGCTATCTATTCTATATATACAGCACCAATGCATTTTCTGGCTTCAGAAGTTCCATCAGAGGCTGAAGCCCCTTTCACACAACGTGTAAAAGCTGGACTCTTGTTGTCCTGTCTGTGTGATGATGTTCTGTTTAATGCCATTAAAAAAAAAAAAAAAAAAAACTGGAGGAGAAACTCGAACCAATAGTTTTCCACCTGCCCAAGGAGTGTCAGACTCTGGATCTCCTTTCCCATGAAAACTGACATTTTCAGGCTATTTTTATGTGTAACTGTTGTTTGTAAATGATAATAGCACAGAATCGAGGGAGGAAGTCAACTTCAGAATTTTAGGTAGTCTATTAGTCTGTTGCCCATTTCACACTACGTGGTAAAGCCCGTATTTGTTCTTTCTGTTCTGCCCTGGTAATTTTCCACTTTCTGAGGTTTGGTTATTTTAATGAGAAGGAATACTGTTGTTGTTTTTTTTTTCTTCCCCTCAGAGATTGTTGTTGTCATCCAAAGCTCAATGTGATGAATGTGCTTGTGTCCTCTGGCAACAGGCCACCGCAGAGCAGATCCGACTTGCGCAGATGATTTCAGACCACAGCGATGCAGACTTTGAAGAGAAGGTCAAACAGGTGAGAAGCGTTTTCTTCTGTCTGTTTTTGATAGTTGCTTCTTGGCTTTTTCAAGATGCCCCTTTTGTCAATAAGAGTAGAGGAAATGAAATGCCGTTTTGGTTTTCTAGCTGATTGACATCACGGGCAAGGACCAGGATGAGTCTATGATCGCGTTGCACGACTGCAACGGTGACGTCAACAGAGCCATCAATGTGCTTCTGGAGGGCAGCCCAGACACTGTGAGTCTTCTTGTCTGAAGTCTTCTTCTTTTCGCAGTGTTTCTTTTTATATGGCTCAGTTTTTACTTTGTGTGAAGCTGTGGTTGCCTTCAAGTGCTCTACAAATAAAGTTGAGTCTTGTATGGTGGGGAAAACTCTAAATCTGCGGGTGTCCGGTTTGGGCGTATTTTGCGAGTGACAGTGCTGCCAGTCCAATTTATGTTAAAATATTTCCACATGCTTGTAGTAAAGCAACACAAGTGTCGGAGTGATGGTTGCCGCGTGTTGTGATTTGAATAAAATTATTGTTAGCGCACAGAGGCCGCCTGCACAAAATTGAACAAAACATTTGAATGAAGAACCTCACTTTACTCTGTGCCGCTGCTCTCCTTTGTTGCCTCCCGTGCCGTTCGTAGCAATATTCGAACAAAGTTTGCATGGCTAACCGATGTTCTCGACCACAGCCCGCTTATTTGTGTACTTTTGGACCCGCAGAGACACTGAATGAAGGACAGTCGCCCCCAGAATTTTCAGACCCTGTAACCCCATTGACGCTGCGTGTAAAAACCTTGATTCTTTAGCCCATTTTCCTCGTTGCTATCATGCGTAAAAGACGCAGAATTGAGGGCTGAAGTCGACCAGGCAATTGTTCATCCTTGGAGGCAGTATCAGAGACACAATATCCTTTTTCTGTCTTTTTGGGGGGGGGGGGGCAAAAGGTTCTCCCTGCTGTCTCCTGGTTGTATTCATTTTGTGGGATCTCTGTGTAATTTTTGTTTGTTTTCTCAAATGTCAGGACTCGTGGGAGATGGTGGGGAAGAAGAAAGGTATGTCGTGTCAGAAGGAGCCCAACCAGCCGGAGATTGGAGAGGACGGGAAAGAGAACAGGGAGAAAGTGGAGAAGGATGCAGTGCGTCGGCGAGGGGGAGCTCCTCGCAGGGCCCGCGGTGCAATCAGAGGGCGAGAGTGTACGCCTGTTCACGTGATTGCGCTTGAATTTGGGACCCATTGTTCCTCGTTTCCTGATTCCTCCTCTTTCACTCCAGTTCGCGGTCAAGAGAACGGCTTGGACGGAGGCAAAGCAGCAGTGATGGGTAGGGGCGCGGAGCGAGGCCGCAGGGGGCGTGGACGAGGAAGAGGAACACTCGGTGAGTTGTCGTGACTTGAATCACGTTTCATGTGAACAATCTCAAGTTTGACTTTCGCTTCCCTCCCCCCAGGAGCGACGGGACGGCGGGGAGGCCGATTCTCAGCGCAGGGCATGGGGTAAGAAGAGAACACCTGAATATCCTTAGACAACCAGAGAGGGTGGGGGGGGTGCTTGTGTTCCACTGTTGCCATGGTCACAGGAGACTAGTACCCTGGATCTATTGTTGTATTGTTGGCATCTAGTGTTAATCCACTGCAGAGGTGGACGTGGTTCAGCCTGCGGAACGAAACGGCGTAGGCCCATTTCTCTTCTGAGTTGTGTGCGTCTCCGACAGTTTCTCATTTCAAAACAGAAATGATCCTCGAGTTGGCTGTAATTTCCTCATCATCATCATCACACACACACACACACACACACACACACACACACACACACACACACGCGCGCGCGTGCGCCAAATAGAGTGAAAGACAGGATGTGATATGAAGGAGACTGTCCAAGCGCGTGATGTTTCATTTTGGCTCAATTAGGCTTTCTGCTGACTTGTGCACTCCTCATTCCCACATTTGATTGATGGACATAGCCACACAAGCATGCAGTCAGTGCTATGTACACAATCGGCAAATGATCTGTTCTTCAATTGTATGTTCTTGTTGTTTTTTTCCCCCCTCTCCCAGAACCTTCAATCCTGCCGACTACGCTGAACCGAGTCAGACAGATGAAAACTACGGCGGAGGAAGCACCTGGAACAACACGGGTGGCATGGAGACAGAAGAAGGAGCTCGTGAGTACATTGAGAAAACACTTATTTTATATGTTCCTCGCAGGATCTTTCTGGTGTTGATGGATCTTGATGCGGGGATGCCAGTGAAAACTCTTTTTCTTTCCAGGATTGGAATACTCTCCGGGAGAAGGAATGACTTACCCGCCCAAGTTTGACACTGCACCTGGTAAACAAACCTTCAATGCACAATTCCATGTACAGTGCAACCCCCGTTTCGTTCCAGATGCATCCGCAGTAGGTGAAAATCGGCAGCATTGAGAGATTTATTTACTGCACATCAATCACCTTTGATGTTGCCTGACAGAGATCGGTTGGCTCAAAATTTTACCGATGAACTGCGCTATAGTGAGGGAGCTTGATTGACCAACTTCTTGTGCCTGTGCCCGGTGCTGAAGAGAGATTTATGCCCCACTCTCAGGTGCCTGGAGGACACCCACAGAAGAATGGGGCACTGAGGACTGGAATGAGGATGTGAGTACTTGACTTTTTGTTTAAAATCTTTCCAAGGAACTCTATAGTTGTGTCACCATCCAGAAATAACTTGTCTCACATTTTTATTTTCATACCTGGCAGTTGTCAGAGACCAAGATATTCACCGCTTCCAGCGTGGCAACCATTCCACCACCACAGGAGAATGTCACCATCACCAAAGGACAGAGGTGGGACAAAAGCCCCCACCCCACCCCCTTTCAATGGCATGTCAAAGCCATCACTTTCCCTTCCTTTTCCAAAGGTAGCTATTTCGTGTCAATGGTACCGACCCAGAATGGGGATGTCGGGGGCGGGACTTGGTAGAATTGGCAAATGTTTCCCTTTTGAGGTCATTTCAGAGCTTTAACAGATGTGTTCCAAATCACAATTCTGGGGACAGAATTGTGAAAGTTCTGTGTAATAAGCACAAAGGGGCGAAAAGTTGTCATTTCACTTGGCATGGACAAAATGACAATTGCAGGATACCTTGTGGTCATTGACGTAACGTTCCAATTTCATCTTCTCTGGAGGATTGACCTGGCGGTGCTCTTGGGGAAGACCCCCCCATCGTCCTCGTCTGAAACGGAACCCCAACCCGTGGAGGCCGCGCAGCCCCCCTCCCTTCCTCAGTCGCTGGTTTTCAGCAACTCCAAGCAAGCACCCCCTATCTCCCAAAGCACCTCTGCCGCCCCTTACGCCCAGCACAGCATGGTAAGTGGCAATAATGACTGAATTCCCGGGCCGTAGGTGACTGCTGATGCACTGTTGTGGCGGCAGGTCAGCATGCTGAACAAGAGTTTTGGAGAGGTAGCGGAGCAGAAAGGCGGTACCAGCGGTACCACCGGCTCCCAGTTCCTGGAGCAGTATAAAACCGCCCAGGCGCTGGCTCAGCTGGCCGCGCAGCATTCCCAAACTGGGGTCTCGAATGCCAACGCCCCATCCTGGGACAGCGGTGCCAACTCACGGGCACAGTATGGTGAGCTGACACAAGATGTACCCCAGACTGGAATCGTTTTTGATTATTCTTCATAGTTGGTCAGTAGTGCTTTGACCTAGTTGGTTAACCGGTTCGCCTTATGGGTGTGATGTTCAGGGTTTGAATCTGCGGCAGTTTTTCTGTCTGGAGTTCACATATGCGTTCTTATTTTTCTGTGCAGATATGAAGACTCGGCCAGAGTCTGCCATCCACACGGCCTTTGCGAAGCGTCCGCCCTTCCAGGCCTCCGCCGCCGCCGCCACCACCACCACCACGTCGTCCATGTTGGAAGTTTTCCTGCCTCCTTCCGCCTCCTCCTCCGCTTCCACCTTGCCACTGCAAACGACGTCCTCGCCACACGCCGTCCCGCCGCCCGCCTCCTCCCTTCCCAAAATGGCGTCCGTCACGTTGTTGGGTCAGCAGGTTTCCCCGAGTTCCTCGGACGCGCAAGGCTCTAGTCCGCTGCCTCTGCAACAGCACAAACTCAGGCCGCAGAAGAAGAGGACCTCCATTGCAACAAAGGTAGACGTAGACGCTTGGTACAAGTTTCAAAATGGACCGCATTTCCTCAAATAGCGGCCTCCATTACACAGGGGGGGAGCGGGAGGGTCTTTGGTTTTTACAGTGGAATACGAATTCTATTTTAAGACCAAACCACCTCACCTTCCACCTTTGGAAATGTGTTCAACACACTCCTCTAGTGCGGATCTAGCAGCTGAGAGGAGCATATCTTCTTGTCAAACTTTTCATCTTTGTTCAGATTCCGGCAATGGCGGTGGAAATGCCCGGCTCGACAGACATCTCCGGGCTAAACCTACAGTTCGGAGCACTGCAGTTCGGCTCGGAGCCGACGCTGCCCGAGTACGAATCGGCCTCCTCCAACGCGGCGCCGGTCAACCCGATGCAGAACAGTCTCTACTCCGCCCCCAACAGGTTGGTATGTAGGGACTGCAAGGTAGTTCAGATTATTTGAGCCAGCGCCTCCTCGCGTTGTGTCAAGTGAGATGAGTTAACACGAGCTGTCGATCTGCAGTGAGTCAACTCCAGCTCTTTCCAACTCCAGCCAGATGGACATGTACGAGCAGAGAGCATCTCAGACGCGACGTTACCCCCCCTCCGTCTCCTCCTCCCCGCAGAAGGACATGCAGCCCAAGGTAGGCCTTAGAACACCCGGGCCGGCCAGATGTTTGGATGCTCTGAGTAGTCAACGTGCATTTCCAAGCGCACGCGTCCTTTTTGACTTCCCAACATCCCGTTGCCAAAGAAACCAGTGAGCTCACCTTGATTGTTGCTTTTACAGAATGGCTTCAGTTCACTGCAAGCGGCACAATCTGCGGAAGGCAAGTCTCTTGATTCTCATTGTATTATGAGCAAAATATCTTGCTCATGACTTGCTGACACATAGTGGAAGTATTTTTTTTTTTTTTTATGTTGGATTTATTTTTGACTTTATTTATTCGTGTCTCATTTGTTTCTTTTTCATTTCTGGAGCTATTCTGGTCGATTGTAGTTTGGCATATCTCTCTTTATCTGCTCATTTACTCTCTTTTTGTTTCCCTGTTTTGTTTACGTAACTGCTTAATTCCTTTCTCATTTATATATTTTGTTGTCATTTTGTTTTGCTTTCTCATGTATTTTTTTTATCCTCATTTTCTTCTTTTTTTTCATTTATTTTGGTCTTTCATTTCAATTCTTCATTTTCTCATTAATTGTGTTCTTTTCATTGATTCTTGACTCATTTATTGATTTCCTTCCTAGCTGCAGCGGGTTCTGCAGTTGCGGTCAAGCCCACGTCAGACACGACGGCGACGGCGGTGCCGCCGGTGGTCGCCAGCATGGGCGCCCTGACGGACGGCGGCTCTGGTCCGGCCTCCCTGCTGACAACATCCAATCAGGCACCACTCAGCGCCCTGGGGCAGGCCGACGAGCTGCCGCCGAGCACCGTCCCGCCTCCTCAGCACAATAGGTGGCGACGCAAATTGATTCCCCCTTCGTAAGTCGACCGCAGCTGTCGGTAAAGCAGACGTAGTTAAACTACAGTGTCTCGTTCCAGTGCCCTCTCGTCACAGCAGAACAGCCTTGCTTCATCTTCAGGTCGAACATCCAACTCGAGCTTGCTGGTAAACACCCCGTTTTGCGCAAGACCATCTTTGATCGATAATTGTCTGTTGCAGATTTCCTACAGCAGTGTATAAATACACACACACACACACACACACGTCACCACACTCCAATGGAGTCATATTGTCATCAGTCACAACCGCCTCTTTCCTCCACAGCACCCCAACATAGATGGTGACTCCAGCCTCCACTCTTCCTCCTCCTTCCCTTCTGTCTCAGCCGTGTCGTCGTCGGTCCCACCCTCCTCCGCCTCCGCCTCCTCCTCCTCCTCGGCCACCTCACCGCAGGTGTCCCTGGGGGCTGCTCCGGTCTCTGCCCCGTCTGGCCTCGGCTCCGTCAGCAACATGCCCATGGGCATCAATGCGGCTTCTATGGGTGTGCAGGGCGTGGCCTCGTCCCCCGCCGCCGTCTCCATTTCTGGGGCGGCCTCCGCCGCTCCCTCCTCAGTGACTTCTTTGTCATCGCGCAGCTCTGCAGCACCCTCAGGTCTGGCATACAGCAACCTATCTACACTTTTTTTTTTCACCCCCGCAACACGTTGAACTTATTCATACGTACATTGAAAAGGTTTTAATATTACTTGGAGCATAAAACTTGCACAAAGCAAAAAACGAATAAGATGTGAACGAATGTTTTCCTATCCGAATCTTGACTGCAGTTGTGAGTTTACTGATCGGAGACTACAGCGAATTCTTACATACAGGCCACTGCCAGAAGCATTACAGCTTATCACTTGTGTATGTCGCTGTCAAATGTAGGGAAAGCGCCTCCAAATTTGCCCCCGGGAGTGCCTCCTCTGCTACCCAATCCATACATCATGGCCCCGGGACTACTGCATCCCTATCCAGTGAGTGCTATTCTATGTCTGTGTGCAAGCACAATGCAATGTGTGCGTGATGTGTAATAACAAGACATGGCGGTGTCAGACTCAGGTGTACGGCTACGATGACCTGCAGATGCTGCAGACAAGAATACCGTTGGTAAGTTGGAATTTTCCATACGAGACATGATCTCCCGTGTCATCGTCATAATCTTGCTCCCCTTTGCCTGCCTTTCCAGGATTATTACAGCATTCCCTTTGCAACCCCAACAACAGCACTGACCGGCAGAGAGGCTAGCTTGACAAACAACCCCTACTCCGGTGAGACTTTCTCCTGAACACATTTCTATGAACTGAACGATTCGAAGGATTTCTTTCTGCGGTCGGCCTCTCTCAAGGTGACTTATCCAAGTTCGGTCGTGGCGACGCGTCCTCGCCGGCCCCCGCCACAACGCTGGCACAGAATCAGCAGCAGAACCAGACGCAGACGCACCACTCGACCCAGCAGCCCTTCCTCAACCCGGCGCTACCGCCCGGTTACAGCTACACGAGCCTGCCCTACTACACCGGCATGCCGGGCCTGCCCAACACCTTCCAGTACGGCCCCGCTGTGTTCCCGGTGAGAATTGGACACTCAAACGCAGCAAACCTGCTATTTTTCTTTCGGGATTAAAGGGAGGGATTTTATTTTTGCCTCCTTCCAGGTGGCTCCTACCTCGTCAAAGCAGCATGGAGTGAATGTCGGCGCGTCGGCCACACCCTTCCAACAGGCCAGTGGCTATGGTTCCCATGGATACAGCACTGGTGAGCCACCGTGAGCGGAGACTGCAGGTCTTGCGATGAATGTCGTGACGTGTGGCTGATGCTACAGCTGTAGGCCGCAAGGTCACAGTTGTCACCCCAAACTGACTAAGAACAATATTTTTCGATGGCGCGCTTGACTCTCCGCATGCAGTGGACCGGAATGGAACACTGACGTCAACGTTCTAAAAGCTGCTTTGTGCCGCTGTTATTGGCCTTGACTGAGGATGTGACTGCCCTTTGAAGGAGACGTTTTTTGATGTGAAAGCTTGGCTGAGGGATCCTCATCTTCCATTGCTTGTTGATGCATTGGCCCATTGCATATTTGTGGTCCGACATTGGCATATGGGGGGGGGGCTATCCATCATTATTCACCAAAAATCTTGTCCATTTCTTGGATTTGTGCTCAATGATAACTATGCCGCCATCTGGTGGATTTTTATGTTCAACTCACTGGTGGTGTTTTTCATCTGCGTTTGAGATGTTCTGTTTGATTGCAGTCCCTTGAATGCACCCGGGACACTGTCAAAAGTGAAAGTGTGTGTCTCCTCGCCCAATGGACCTTCTGAAAGTTGGAGTCGACTTTGCTGTTGAAATTGCTTTTTTTCCCCTCACATTTTTGTTCACGTTTTCCCCGTGTGTGTGTGACGACACGCCAGTTTGTGCCAGCGTTGTTAGATCAGCCCATAGAGGCTCGCTAATGCTGTTGATGAGCCTATGATGGAGGAGCTTTATTTGTGGTGATGAATTTAATGATTGACTGCAGTGGGTTCTGTAACACGAATTCATGATTGTGTACGTGCTAGATGAACGGAGTTGATTCTTTCTGGTTCTCTGTGTTTTAAGTGCTTTCCCGCCATCTTTTGGCATCTACACATAGCTGGAGGAGATGATGAACTTGGATCATTTCGAATAGATTCCCATCCATCCATTTTTTGGGGGGCTAGGGGGTGGGAGAGCCTGCAAACTCCACACAGGAGGGCCGAAGCCAGAATCGAAGCCTGCACCTCTGCACTGTGAGGCCGACATGCTAACCAGTCGAGCACCGGGTTTACCAACTGTCCCAATTAAGTGCAATTGGTGGTTGGGAATCACATGGTCTTCCAACCCTTATTTTTCGAACCAGCCACGTCTTGAAATTCAACACTTACTACGCTTCCCATGAAACAATTTTTTTTTTTTTTTTTTTTTTCCTCCTGCTGCTTCCTGCCATTATGCCAGCTTACTTTCCACCTTCCCACACACACCTATGAGGATGTGGGCCAGGCTTCAGGGAGTGGGGATTTCTGTAAGGGCGGATACGGCAATGCCGTGGCCGCCGCCGCCGCCGCTGCCGCTGCTGCTGCCGCCGCCGCCGCTGCCCAAAACAAACCAGCCAACTCTGTCAGCGGGCCCGGAGTTGGTGAGTGCCACCCCGTGCCAGGTAGTAAAAATGCCGAAGTCACCATGACCCCATCCGACCGCCACCCGACTTTTGCTCCTATTTCTTTGCCTCATTGCTGTGTGAAGACTATGATGCAACTTTTGTGTACTTTGGTTGAAATTTCAAAACAAACCTAAAATGCGCTCTGGTCTTGACAGACCAAATTAATTAGACCTTCGCACAGCTATAGGATGCACTTCGGACGTTCAAATGTGATGGTTTGCCAGGCAGTCCATGGAGCTAATACTTGCCTAACCCCCCACCCCCTGAAATTCTAATTTCCCCAAATATTCTTTATTTTGACCATCGCCTCTGTTGCAGGAATTTTAATTTCCTCTTCTTTGCTGATCACGTCAACAATTACTCCTTTCAATGTTCACTCGGGTGACGTCTCACCAGATGGTCTGAGTAGTTGTCGGCATATTTTAAAGTTGAATTCTGAATTGGCGTGCCCATTTTCTGAGCCGCACACCAGTTGACCCTGTTCTGCATCTGTGTGGCGATACAGGGGGTCAGTGTGTGCCACAGCGAACCCCAAACACAGCAGCAAACGCCACACACACGACAGTCGGACCTTGAAATGTCCGCTGGCAGTGGTGTGCTGCCACATGGCGCACTCGTGTCGCTGAATTGCTCCCCGGTCATTTGCTCTGTGAGGTGCCATTTTGGGTTCTTGTTTTGCAATGTTGAAGTTGTTTTTTTTTCTTCTCTAGGAGTGTCCGTGACATCGAGCAATACCGGGGTACCTGACATTTCAGGCTCAGTTTACACCAAGACTCAGGCAAGTACAGGACTCTGTTTCGCAATTATTTAATGAACCCCCAAGCTGCGACTCGTGGGCCACCCCCCGAAAATTGTGAACTGCTCTTTATTTAGGGTCTGTGTAGTGTAAGTCATGCAATGTGTTGACATCTTTTTTTTTTTTTTCACCCCCCCAGCAGTCATTTGAGAAGCAGGGTTTCCACGCTGGCACTCCCACAGCATCTTTCAGCCTCCCTTCCGCGCTGGCCAGCGGCGGCCCCATCAACGCCCCGGCCGCAGCAGGCTACGCCCCGGCCCCCTTCATGCACATCTTGGCGCCGCACCAGCAGCCCCACTCCCAAATCCTACACCACCACCTGCAGCAGGACGCACAGGTGAGACTCTATGCTTTCTCTTTTTCTCCTTTCTTTTCTCTCCTCCCACATCTCTCTCATCCTTTCTGTCCGTGTGTTCACAGAGCGGTAGTGGCCAGCGCAATCAAACTGCGTCCATTCAGCAGAAGTCTCAGATCAACAAGTCTGCATACAACAGCTACAACTGGGGGGCCAACTAACATCCACCGACGGAGCCCTGGACTCCCACCGACCACCTCACTCGCTCACAGAAGCTGTGAATAAGGGAGGGAGTGGTCAGGGCTCATCTCCTGAAAAACAAGTTCATGGCGAAGGTTTCCTCCTGCTGAGTTTTCCCCCTGATCTTCCTTCTCCTCGTCCTCCTCCTCCTCCTCATCCCTTTGCAAGGATGTCCCGGGATGGAAATGGGAGGGGCTAAATGGTTATGAAAAAAACATGAAATGACTTATTGAGTGTTTGGGGAAATTGTATTGTGTTAAGTTCAGCACCCTTTTACTTGCGTAACAGAAAAATGGTTTCCTAAAATGAATGAGTGTTTCTCCGTATGGTTCTTTTATGTTCTTGTTTCTCCCCCCCTTTCTTTCTTTTTTACTAATTGAGAGGAATGAAGTAATTTAGGATGGTGGCGATGGAGGGGTGGGGAGGGCTGCTTTTCTATTCCACACCCCCCCTGCACAAAATATTCATTTACTTGATTGCTGTTTGGTTTCTCCGCCAACCCCCTATTTTATGTCGTTTTTAAGTTGGAAGAAACAATTCTCTGAATTTGGTAGAGTTGTGAAGTTTATTTTTTACTAAATATAGATAGATATATATAAATATATAAGTCATCTGGCTTGGAGTGAGGACGTTTATCATGTGTGCGTGCATGATTGTACACAAAGACATGTCGGGGGATAGGTTGTTGACTGTGCTTTATTTTTTTGCCAAGCACAGACTTTTCATAGTGTAGAAAACACATGTACAGTAACTGTTACCGTATGAATATGTTGTGTCACAAGTTATTAAAGGATTCTTCCCAAGGCCAATCTGCACCCCAATCTGCCTCTCAATGATACAGTAATGTCTTCAGTTTGGGAGACCTCTCCATGCGCCACCACTCCTCCCCTGAACATTTTAAAGGAAACCTTACAGCAGGGGTGTCAAACTCATTTTTGTCGCGGGCCACATTTTAGTTACCGTTTACCTTGGAGGGCCGTTATGACTGAAACCAGATCAAGAAGTCAAGAATAACTGTTGATTCAACTCTTGTTTAAGTTACCATCACGAGAGGTTTGGTAACAAGAAAATGCTTAGAATATCTCTTATTTATTACATGTGAGAATTAAAATTTTTGATAGACATTTTAGAAAGCATCATGGAATTTGACATGTTTGATCTGCTTTCGCGGGCCACCTATAATAATGTGACGGGCCAGATCTGGCCCCCGGGTCTTGAGTTTGACACCTGTGCCTTACAGCATCTAATACTGATGGACAGAATTGTACTTTTTTTTTTTGTCGGTGATTTTTCTTTTTGTACTGTGCATTTTAAAAGAAACATGTAAATGAAAAACTTGTCTTGTACATATAAACAAAAGTACTGTAGTGCCTGTTTGTTCGCTTTACTCCCGCGCCGCTCCCTTGCAGATATTAAAGCGTTTTGTTCCATTTTTTTTAATTTTGTAAAATATATAAATAATAAACAAGGAAAAAGACATTTTCATCATATTTGGGGGATGTGAATGTCTTGAGGAATCCATATTGTTGTTTCCTTTGTTCTACAAATGGTAACTTAAGTACAGTTGAAAAACTCAGATGCGTTTATTCTCACTATTTTAAAATTGAATTTCTCTTTTGAGATTCAAGTTGGTAATAAAAATAAAAAAAACTGCGTTTCACATTGCGATTTGACTGCCACCATAACGGTTAAAACTACTTTACGGTAATTGCGTCATTAAAACACGGATCTTTACGACACTGGGCAAACCAACTGGTGTCTTTAGTCAGCATACTTTTTTTTTTTTTTTTTTACCGTAAAACACGGATCTTTACGACACTGGGCAAACCAACTGGTGTCTTTAGTCAGCATACTTTTTTTTTTTTTTTTACCGTCAGTACGTTATGGTAATGTCAGAAGTTATTTTTACCTAACTACTCCTAAATGAGCGTTTTTGATTTATTTCGCGGCTTCTTCGGAGTGCCAGGCGGTCATTTTCGTGGCCGAAGGTGAGTTGGCAAGAACCTAAAGTGCCAGCTGCTACGTAGCGAACATTTAGCTCACTACCACAAATTGTTGAAAATGCGTCTTTTTTCATGTCTACACAAAGCTTTTGTATTCCATGGTATGTTTAACCGAGCGAATTTATCTTTACTCGGCCGTGTATTATTGTTAGGAATGTGGTTTCAGCAACTTTGTTCGATAATTTCTGCCGGTTAACACAAAGTGACAACAACATCAATGTATTTCATATTTCACTACTCAGTGGCGGCATACATTGTGAGCTAACTCGCGTTGTATTTTCTGTACGCTCAAAGTGGCGTTTGTCACATAGTTCAACGTAGCACACCGTGGTCCAGTGAACCCCCGTTCTACGCGGGGGCGATGTAAAATGGACATCCTTGGTAATTAACACAAGCACCCGTTGTGAATTTAGCTTTTCATCACGTTATTGGAGAGCAGCAAGTTGAGTGGACAAAGAACTGGAACGTTGAAAAGTTATAGGAGAAGTTAAAATGTTCACTTGTAACGATTGAAGCGCATTTTAGGCTCATTCCTAAATTCAATCAGAAAGCAGAATATCCCCAACTATTTTGATGAATATTTAGGATTTATTAATTTTTGACTGCTAATCCAACTCAATAGGGACCCCTTCTTTGATGCCATGACCCGCGATGAGGACGACGATGACGAAGACGACGGCTTCTACTATGACAGCCTCCGGGGGGATGGGCAGGACCCCTTTGACAGTGCCTGGAAATTTGACTTCAGCTTCAGTCCCGATGGGATGAGAATCCAAGAACCTCCTCTGTTTGGCCACATCCTCCGAGAGATGGAGGAGATTTTTTCCCAGCTGGGTCGTTGGGACTCGCATTCTGGTAGCGATGCCATTTTCAGGATTGCAAATGGGAAAGAGTTTGAATTGTGATGGTGTCAATCATCATTCACTGTAGGTATTCCGAGCATTGCGCCACCGCCACGTCAGGAGGGAAGAGGCGGATCCAGCGGGAACCCCCTGAGAGACTTTATGCTCAAATCTCCCGGCAGTGACGACCAAGGGAGAAATGATAACCATCCTTCCTATGAGCGTTCACAATTTCCAGGCTCCACCCCTTATTCTAAAGTAAACGAAAAGTCCTTTCTCGCATTCTTTTGTTATATTATTGCACTCTGTCAGAGACTCTTTTTGTATTCAGTTCAATGATGTCTGGAAACAGAGGCTACAGAAAATTCCAGATGAGCGCAAAGAAGACAGAGGTAGGTAATTCTTAGTCATACCTTGTCTTACCTGTGTGCGTGCATGCGCGTGAGTAAGAGTGACGAGCCAAAACTTGAGGCATCAGCAAGTTTAGGAGACTGTGGGAAAATTTGATTGGAGAAATCAGAAAAGAAACTATTCTGCAAACGCCTTTTTCCTTTGCAATGTGTTATGCAATTGCAATATTGGCATCTACCCAAATGATTTATTACAATCTCCATCACAAATTGGGCTACTTCATCAGCTAACTACCCTAGACGCTAGTGTGAGAAGCTCGCATGGAAGGCTTCATCTTCACTCATCAAACAGCACAAATGGATGATCTTCATTTTTCCAGACCTGGATTCTGCCGTGTCCTCCAGTGGTTTAGATCAGATTCTGACATCACCCACCGACCAGGTGCCGAGTCAACAGCCTCCAAGCAGGTCCTTCTACCAGTCTGTGACCGTCACCAAAGTGCTTAAAAGTGATGGGGTAACAAGCTAACTCGTTCGCGGATATGCCGACTTGATGCATGGACATTTTGTATATTAGCGTTGAGCCATTTATTTTGTTTTTGCCTGTTAACAAGACGATGGAGGAGCGGCGCACGGTCAGGGATGGCCGAGGCAATGAGGAGACCACCGTGACCCGCTCGGGAGGACATGGTGGTCAAGACGGACCGTATCGTCATACCGGACCCGCCCTACCGGGTCTGTACGCACGCAGACACACAATATGCCCAGTTGGTTGAACCCTTGCTATTTGCAGGGCTTGGGAAACGACACCCTCTGGCAATATCAAAAGTCATGAAATAAGAAATTGCCCTGCCCACAAATATATTTGTTCTCTCACTTTAGCAATTTCATCGATTTGCTCTCTTGAAATCATAGAGATTTTAAAGCAATCCCTTTTTATGTTTTTTTAACGGTATACAAGCCTAAATTTAGAGTTGCGTGCCTGTAGTGTAGTACCACCACCATGTTGGGCAGCGCTGAATTTTAATTGTAATAAAGAGCAAGAAAAAGAGGCAGAGAAGTTCCCCTACTGAGCCTACAGAGTAGAGGGAAATTGCGCCGTTTGGTCTTTGTTCAGCATTCCACTGTGTGAAAGTAACATTTGTTTGAAGGTTTATGATCACCACAAACTTGATGCCAATTTACGTTTGCTCATCTGTGACATTTCGTATTGTATGTTGGCTTTCAGATAACTGACTTCCGTGAGTTGACGTTATATGGTTTTGTTGATCGTTTGATTGTTCAAACGTAGCATGTTTAGTTCTCCAGTTTTGACAGAACATCACAGAACATTGAAACATCAACTGTGACCAACGGCTTGAAGCAAGCATGTTCTCATTGATGATCTGATCTCATTTCAGGTTCTTCATTTTCAGACATGCGGGACGACGACAGCGACTTCTTTTCAAAGCTCTTTGGGGGCTCTAAATGACTTGTTTATAATACACATGCAATTTGTTTATGTTGTGGAGTTGTTCATTGAACGCTGACGCTGCAAGGTGAGATCGTATTGAAGAATCATCCCCGATTGTTGCAATGTATTTATTTTTGTATTGGCCTCTGGTGGTGGTTGCGTAAAAATAAATGACGTTGATGTTGTTGGAACGCTCTGAGATTTTTGATTTGTTTTTAGAATTTGCGCTGCAAGCGGGATCGAATGCTCGTGCTGTAGGTTAGCCACTTCTCTGCTTTCGACACCGAGAGCAAGGTGGGTTTGAACAAGCCAATGAGAGGAGCAGCGTCAAGAGTGCTAGCAGGTGAGGATACCCCCCGCCCCTCCAACTGTCGAAACCTCTTGTGCTTGCTTGGACAGGAAGGTCACATACAGGATACCAAGTTAGAGCGGTTTTATCCAAAAATAATATCATTATTCAGACATGCGTATTTTTTAAATCAAAGTGATGTCCTGTGTACTTAAATGGATTTTAAATTACTAATATAAAGTAACACTGATGTTAAATGAGAAAAAAATATCAGTCGCAAATGTCAAAACATTCAAATGTGGCAGCTAGCCGGGTGCTTGTGTAGCTTTCTGTGATGAAATACTCGGAGAAATTATTTCAAAGCTGCATAAATTTAAAACAAAACAAAAAAAAAAAGGAAATCAGCAGTCATGTCGGGGGGAAATAAAAATGGCAGAAGCCGATGCCTTCTCTCCTTTTCGTCCGATGTTGACAATAAGATCCAAATGTAAGTCTCTTTTTGACATTTATTTGAAAACTGCACAAAAGTGAACGTATGGCATTTTCAGCAAGCAGACCACAACCATGGAAAAAAAAACATGAACGTTCCACTATTATCATCCAGCTATATAAATATGATATGACACATATATAAAAAGATAAAAACAAGACAAATGTTTTTTTTTCTTCTTCCAAGTGTTATAAAAGAAATGTATCGATACACATTGACTTCCTCCTAGTAGGGTGTTTGTTTAATACTTGGAATAAAAAGGAACAGTACAGTACAAATACTACACGTATTCACATTATCATAAGTTTTTTTTTTTCTTGTAGTGTAATTATGTATTTACAGAACAAAAAGCACATACTACCCACTTGTTCCTCCTCTTCTTCTACTGTCTTAATGAACAACAACATCACAAATGATCCTGGCCAGCTCGCAGCAGTGTTCGATAAATAATAAATATTACGAGTACAAATCCAAGTTCCAGGGAGGTCAGTAGAATGGCGGCCGTGCAGCGAAAAGGTTTCGCTCAAAAGGGAGGATGTCCAGGCATGCAACAAGAGTGGGATCGTTCAAACATTCGAGAGCAGTGGTTCTCACAACTGGGGTCTGCAAAATAATTTGCAATAAAGAAAGATTTTTTTAAACATATATAGATTATTATTATTTTTCCCCCAAAAGTGCAAACCTTTACGTGCGGCATGTCAGACAATATTTCTCTACCTGAGCTTTGGACCAATTAAAAGCTCTGATATTATTGTGATGTACTTTGTTAGCTACTCACATTTTTGTATTGTTTCTACAGAAACTCTTAAGATGTTATTAAAGCCCTGGTTATTAGGAAGTCAGTAATTGGTGTCAAGGAAGCAAGCTGAACTGTGACACCTACTGAGGAACAACCTGGGTCGGTAGTGGAAGTGTCTTTGTCACATGTGCACATATGAAAATTAAATATGTACGACATTTATTTTAGGGGAATGTTTGTGGGTTGGCGGCCTGGTGGTCCAGTGGTTAGCGCGTCGACTTCACAGTGCAGAGGTACCGGGTTCAATTCCGGCTCCGGCCTCCCTGTGTGGAGTTTGCATTATTCTCCCCGGGCCTGCGTGGGTTTTCTCCGGGTACTCCGGTTTCCTCCCACATTCCAAAAACATGCTTGGCAGGCTGATTGAACACTCCAAATTGTCCCTAGGTATGAGTGTGAGCGCGGATTGGTTGTTCATCTCTGTGTGCCCTGCGATTGGCTAGCAGCCGGTTCAGGGTGTCCCCCCCCCCCCCCCCTGCCCGAATGGTGTTGTGTGTTTCCCCCCCCCCCCCCCACTGCCCGAATGGTTTCTGGTATATTTACAGTTGACAAGAAAAAAAATTTGGGATGCCAATGTCAGTCACTTGCGTTTTTCCACTGTTCACAACAGGACTCGATCCCTTTATCCCGCGAATGCCAGTGTTCTTTAAAAATTATTTCGTCGCCATTTGCCGAAAGACCTAACCGGTTGCTGTTTTTTTAGAATAGAACGGTATTGCTTTGGCGCCATCTTATAGCATCTTGGTAACTAGTATGTTGAAATGTGAGTATTAATGGCATTCAGACAGGCTTATTGAACTCTCTAATAGGAAAGTCGTGCTTTGCTGCCATCTTATGGATTTGAATTGTGGTTACAAGTGCCTTCCCATTGAAGAGGTCATGAGAATTTAAATAGTTCTAATGGCATTCAGGGGTACATATGGTATTTATGCTTAGTTGCCATTAGGATGATGAGAGGGTCCTCAGGGGAAAAAAAAACAACCCTCCCCTAGACCCAAAACGTTTTGAGAACCCTTGTTCAAGACTGGCTTGGTTGTGTCCTACTGGGGCTTGTCCGTCTTGTGCGCGGTGAGGAAGGCCATGCCGTGGGTCCGGAAGTGGGTGTTGAGATCCGACGCCTTGTCGAAGCGGCGCCCGCACACCCTGCAGATCAGGTTGCCGTCACCTTCCTCGCCCAGAGCTTGAGGCGAGGCACCGCCGGCGTGGGGCGAGCCGTCCGGGGATGCTCGTCCTGCGGAGCGGTCCAACTCGCCCTGGGCGTCCCGCACGCGGTGGGTGATGAAGCGGTGCCGGCCCAGCGAGCCGGCCGATGCGAAGCACACGCCGCACTGCAGGCACTGGAAGGAGGCGGTGTCGGCGCGGTGCTGCGGGATGTGGCGCTGGAACTCGGCGCCGTCCTCCGTGGAGAAGCCGCACGGCACGCAGCGGAACACGCTGCCGCTCTCCTCCTCCGGCTCGGCCGAGGCCCGGGTTCTCTTGGCGGGGCCTGCGCCCCCTTCCTCGCCGTCCTCCGGGGGGTTGTCTTCCTCGTCCACTGGCCTGCTGCCAGGAGCGGCCCCCTCGCCGTCTTGCTCCGAGGAGCTGCCAGGACCTTCTGCGCCTGTGGCAGCACGCTTCCGGGTCATCGGGACTGCCTGAGGAACAGAGAGGGTTCCAAACAGGTGAGCAATAATACTTTTGACTGAACTGGCCTACAAGTGATTTCATACTTTTTCATACATCCAGTGTGCAACACTGCACACAATTATTTTCTCTTTGTCATACATGCCAGCTTTAAGAATGCTAGATGTTTACTTTTTATAAGAGGCTGAGTTGCCTATTGTGTGTGTGATGCTTTTTTTTGTTGTTTGTTTTGTTTTTCGGCCACACGTGGAGCAGGAAAAGCAAACTGGTCCCGAGACTAGTACCAACTTGGGAGCAAGTGACCAACTGCGAGAAGCAAGTGAATCGCCGCTCACCTGTCCTTCGGTGCCTCTGTGCTTGAGCCGGATGTGTTTGTCCAGCAGGAAGCGGCTGCCAAAGGTGCGTTTACCCTCCGTGCAATACCTGCCACAATATTTAATCACAATTAGGACTGGTTTTACAGTCATCAAAACACTAAACAGAAAAAATAAACATTTTAAGTACAGGTGTACAATGTAGTGACATATGATTCCGATACTGTTTATTGAGTCGTTTTTTTCAAAAGCGCCCGTCAATCAAGTACTTCAAAGTTATCCAATTATCTGGAGCAATGTCGCAAGATCACTGCGTGATCTGGTTGTCGTAACTTCCAAACTTACTGGCAATGGAAGACCCTTTTGTTGCCCTCGTGAATGACTCTCTCATGACGTCTGAGGCTGGATGATGTGCTGAAGTTCCCCCCGCAAATGCGACAGGGGAACTGGGGGGGGACATTTTGGAGTTATGTAGATGTTAAACACAAAACAATGTGCTGCTTAGGCAGCCATTTCAAAGCACCTTTCCGTGCTCCAACTTGACGTGGCTGATATAGTCGTCATTGTCGGTGAAGGTGCTCTGACACTGCGGGCACGTCCACTCAGTGGGGGCGCCGGGGGCGGCTCCCGCCGTCCCCGAGCCGGGCCCTTCGTAGTCTTCGTCCCCATCGTCGTCGTCTTCCTCCTCCTCGTCATCGTCCTCTTCCTCCTCGTGATCTCGCCCCCAGTCCTCGCCGTCGGAGTTGTCGGGCTTGGCGGAGGGCTTGGCCTTGGGACCGGTTGCGGGGACTGCGGCGGTAGGGGTGTCAGATGCGGCTTCCTGCTTTGCCGCGGGGCCTCTGTGCGCCGTCTGAAGGGCGGGATGAGCCTTCAGTTAGCCCAGGTTAGACAATTACAGCGTGGGTAGCACTCGCTGTACTTGGCATAGAACTGAAGACAAGGTATCATGAGGAGAAACCTTGGCAAGGCCGATCCAAGCGATATCATGTTTGCCTTTGTTGACGCCGCGCTCCTTATGGAAGGCGAAGAGCGGGCAAAACGTAGGCCGCTGTGTTGGTGAGTAAACTCCTTGAAGAAGGGCAGCGACTCACCTTGATGTGCTCCATCATGGAGCCTTTCTGCGCATACAGCTTGGTGCAGTCGGGACACTTGAACACGTGCACCTTCTGCTTGGCCAGATGCGTGTCAAAGTGCATGTAGAGCAAGGGCTTTTGGGTGAAAACGGTGTCACACATCACACACTTGTAGATCATCCTGCCAAGAGACAACACCATGAGAGTGAAGATGACCGAGAGGCGGAGGAAGCAAAGTGCGCGCGCGCCGCTTGTACTTGGCCTGTCCGCCGGTGAGCGCCGGGTGCTGCGTGCCGATGTGGCTTTGGGCGCTCGGGGCCGACTTGAAGGCCATGGGGCAGCTGGGACATTTGTGGAAGACCTCGCAGTGGGCCGTCTGGATGTGAGACTTGATGGAGTTCAACCCGCCAAACACCACCTGGCAACTTGAGCACCTGCAACCAAGCCCACGCCACTGAGAACGCTCAGAAAATATCGGGTGGGGGCGCGGGATGAAGCATCAAACAAACCATTTTTGGCGTTTGGTTGCAAGTTCTGCGCCTACCTGTAGCCGATGCGCCTGGCAAAGTGCAGGCAAGCCTCATCCAGGTGGGTCTGGAAGACGGCCTGCCGCGCCACACCCCCGCACTCGGGGCACACGTGAGGCGCCTTGTGCTTGTGGATCCTCTGGTGGGCGGATACGGCGCACGAGTTGGGCAGCATCATTGGCGGAGAGCACTGGGAGCACGTCTGGAACACAAGGAGAAATAGGAAGTGAAAATTCTTTGTCTTCACCGACACTCGCTTTTACGCTTCTCGTGACGTTCCGGTCACGTGACCTCACCGAATTGGGCGAAGCTCTGATCTGCTGGAAGTGCGTGACCAGCGCCGCCTTGCCGGAGAACTGCGTCTGGCACTCCGGACACTTGTAGTTGTTGTACTGCAGGTTCTCGGCCTTCTTGCAGGGCAGCGGCATAAGTGCCTGTGGGCCCTGAGGGGGGCGGCGCACCTGTCGGAGTGGAGCTCCGCCGGGCGGTGCCGCTCCGTCCTTCATCGGGCTGGAGCCGGCGGCGGACGAAGAGGCGGTAGAGGGGGATGAAGAGGAAAGCACACCTGGTGGAAAGTGAAGGACGTTAGGAGTTAAAGGAGAGGTGGGCTTTTTTTTTTTTTTTTGGGCCCGTTGAGCCAAAGGAGAACGGAAAAAAGGATTTTCAAAATGTATTAAGTAAAGATGAATATAATATACATTGGAAAATCTCTGATCAAATATTTAATTAGACTAAAATTAACTAATAGAATGTACATTTTTTTTTAAAATAAACTTCCATGAACTACAGTTGAATTACACAAAATGAAATTAATGATTGCATTCAACTTTGTTACATTTTTTTCAAAATATTGTTCATTTCACAGAAAACTAAATGAATCATTAAAAACTAAATCGTGCTTCTTCACCATCGTGGTAGTAATTGTGGTACCCCCCCCCCCCCTCTCCTCCGCCCCACCCATGATTCGTGTAGTGGTTTTGTGCTTACTACCGACGGGCGTGACGTCCTGCTGGCCGATCATCTGCTCCACGGTGACGGGCCTCATGACCAGGTGCGAGCACTGCATGACCAGGCCTCGCTCCTTGTGTTCGCGGGCGTGCAGCAGAAGGCTACACTTGTTGAAGAAGGCCAGTCGCTTGGCGCAGTGGTTGCACGTCACCTCGATGCGCAGGGAGCGCCGGTCGTAGTGGCGTGCCAGGCTTCGCTCCAAAGCAAAGGCGTCCCCGCACTCCAGACAGCGGTAGCCGGACGCCGGCAGCGGGAGCCCCCACTCCGGGGGCGGTGCCGCCGACAGGTCCGGTTTGTAGCTGGGCAACAGGTTCTTGCTGTTGAGAATCTTGTTAAAAGCCTCCACCAGGCTGGACTGGCTACGGGAGATGACGGCGCCCGTGCTGTTGACGATGGATGCGGGCTTATTTGACTGGGGGGTACCGCCGGCGCCGTTGGGCGAAGCTTTCGCTGCCGTCCGCACGCTGATCCCCGAGAACTTGGGCGACGAGGCCACGGCGGGAGTGGCGGGCAGAGCGGCGGATTTTGTGATGTTCACAGCGGTGACGGAAACCTTCGCCTTGTCGGAGGTGGTGGCTATTTTGTTTTGTACTTTGGTGGCGGCGGCGAGCATGACGCTGCTGGCGGCGAGCGTGGACACCGGTAAGGCGTTTAAGGCGCTCACGTTCTGCTGCTGGTCTGCCTTTTGAGCTTTGTTTGCCAACACCCTGCGCTCACTGCCCCCTTTTGGGTCGGGACCTTTGCCTCCGGCAGCACCCTTCGGGGCCACCCTTGTCACCGTTCTGGTGATGCCACCCGTGGACGTCTTGATTGTCTTTATGCGCACTTTGAGAGGACGTGACGGAGCCCCTGGGGCAGCCGGGGCGGCGACTAAGAAACCCTCGGGGAGGACGCCTTTTGGCTTGCCCTCGTCCGCCTCGGTCTTTTCCTCGCCCGCATTTTCTGGCTTGTCAGCGTTCCCATCGAACGTTTTGTCCATCCCATTCCCCACTTCCATCTCCTCCTCCTCCTCCTTGGGCTCCCTCAACTCAGAAGAAGGCGGCGTGGAGGCAACAGCGGGGCTGCAACACCTCTTGGTGGACGCCACTTGGGCGGTTGACTTGGGTGCCTCCGGCTCGGGGCTCTCTGGCGAGTCTCTTTCCTCGATAACGTGCTCTGGGTGCTTCTCTTCCAGCTGAGGGGTCTCGTTCCCTGCAGAGACCGACTCAGGGGTGAGAGACGCCCCCTGGGGGGTGTACCCTGGCTTTGGATGAGGCGGAGTGGATGACGTAGGCTGGGTTAGATCCTTGTAACGACGGTTCATCTGAGTGGAAACCGGCGAGTCCGGATTCTCCTGAATCACCAGTGGACTGTCTAAATCTGCATCTGAATCCTCCTCCTCTTCCTCCTCCATTTGTTGGTGTTGATAGTCTGCCATTTTGGGGGCTCCGTTAAAATGCTTGATGTGTGATGAAAGGGCGGCAGGTGGGGCGGGAAGAGGCTTTGCAGGCGGGAAGTAAGCCGGGGCCAGTCCTGCAGAAGACCCGGAGGGTAGTGCTGCTTTGAGGCTGTCCGCTCTCTCCTGCCCCGCTTCCTGCTGCTGTTGCTGCAGAAGCTGCATCTTCCTCGCCCGGCCCACCGGATCTCCAGAACCGGGGCCCAGCAGAGGCTTCAGTCTGTTAAAAATGTTCCCTGCCTGCTTGGTGGACTTGACCGCAACCGCGCCCGAGCCTGAAGTCTCCGCTGATGCTTTAGGGGTGTTAAGGGGCCACGGGGCACCATTGGACTGGCTGACGGAAAGCGCGGCAGAGACGCTGGACACCCCGAAACCGTTGTGGTTGAGAACATCAGATTCTGCCATCCCGCCAAGATGAGGACCCACATCCACCCCTGCGATTACATCAATGGCATCTGGTTCTGCGTCTCCGTCTTCTTCACCTGCCGTCATCTCGGCGCGCACTTTATTTTTTACAATCACGCTCACGATGGACGTGTCCGCCTGTGGGTCAGAGGGGCTAGGCAACCCCACCGTGTTGTCTGTCTTCCCAAGAGGCGCCGCGGTGGGCCCATGAGGTCCCTCCACCTCATCCGGTGCGGACTGGATGGCCTCCTTGGCGTCGATGTCCGGAATGTCAAATGCTGCCAGCAGGTCATCAAAATCTGGGGTCTTCATGTCCCCCATTACGGGATGAACACCTAGAAAAAGCAAAGTGACAGAGCCTTCATGCCATAGTTGGCCACCTCTGTAATTACTGAAACCCGTGATGGCGTTGACCTCTAAAATCCTGGACTGATCACCAGCCAATCACAGGGCACATACAAACAAGCAGTCATTCAATGAGCCTGACATGCATCTTTTGAGGGAATGTGAGAGAAAGCCAGCATGCCTGGGGAAACCCATACAAGTACGGGGAGAAAGTAAGAACGTAACACAGGAAAGCCATGTAGCCCAAATTCGAACCCAGAACGTTTGACTGCTAGGCATCAATGCCAACCACAACATTACTTGTTCATTCCAATATTTTTTTTTAAATACAGCAATAAAATAAATAATGACGGCTGATGGGACAATTAGCAAGTGTAATTGTTTTTTTTTTTTTTTTTTTAACAAAAAGGCCGTAGTGACATCGGTTAGCTTTAGCCAGCTAGCCCGTTAGCAGCCAAACCCTTCGGCGCATATTTCTCTATGAATGGAAGGCAAATGCGGCTTCTTTGTTAGTTTTAATACGAGTTGGACACCAATGTAATTACGAACGAGGAGGGGCGTCTGAGCGCAGCCGTCTTGCGCAGCTGCGACATCGGCCCCTGAAAGCTCGAACGACACCCCCGTTTCCCCGGCGGAGGACTGCTGGCTAGCTGGCCAGAGCGACGGAGAAGAAGGGGGTCACCGAGCTAACAGGCTAGCCTTCGCCATTTAGAGAGAAAGTATCACAACAACCAAGGGATGGAGTGACAGTCACTAGGAGCCGTCGACAATGACGTAGCGTGGGATGGCCTGGGTAAGGATTCTCGAGTTCATAAATGAGGCGTTTTTGACTGTTTACCTGGATGTGCGATTTCCGACTATCCTTAGATCGGGTTGCAGCTGAAAACGCAAACGCTTCCCGTCATGTGACCGCGGCTTTCCAATCAGGAATGTCAAAATGGACCGGACCGCATTGTTTGGACTGGACGAAAATAAATGGTAAAAATATTTTCTATATTTACAGAAGCACACTTACTTTATTACTATACATTGTATACACGTTTGAAATTTAAGTTATTAAATACAGAATGTGGAAAAACACAAGCAGAGTTGAAAACATTTATTTTAATATAAAATTCGATTCATTATTCCATTATTTTTAAAGTAAAAAATACGGGTTGGTGTGATATAGCATAGTGGACTCGTGGTTAGCATGTGCCTGCGTGGGTTTTCTCGAAGTACCACGGCTTCCTCCCACCGAAAACATTTCTGTTTGCATGTTAGCCAGCTGGTGTCGGCTCCAGCTCACCAGCAACCCTAATAATAAAAGTTCTACAAAAAAATGAAATGGATGTATGCTTGTTTATTGGGGTGCTTTAAAGTGTCACAAATAGGGTGTAGATAACATCAGTGTGCAGTTCATGATCATCTTTTCATGTCTAAATGTTTATTGGCTCTCATTCCTTCTTTTCGTCATCTTTTTTGGCATCCGGCTTGCTGTTCGTCTGGGAGGCCAGGGAGCCCATGGCGTTGCGGATGGCTTCGTTGTTGGGGTCCACGCCAGGCAGGTTCTCCAGGACGCTCTGCAAGAACTCTGGGTCCTGCATTACATCATAGTCGTCTTCCTCCTGAGTGAGTATGCAAAAGCGATTAACTTGTCTGTATGGACTTAGAATTACATCATTCACTTGCGTATATATGTAAAAACACGAAACAACATAACCTTGCTCACCTTGACAGAGTCTGTAGCCTCCATTGGGACACCTGTGTCCATCTCACTACTATACTCTGTTATTTGGAAAGACGGAGAAAAAAACATGTTACTGAGGTCTCCGGATAACACGCCTCACCTCAGTTCTGTTGAGTGTAGTCGATGTGGAGGTGACCTCCTCCGGCGAGAGACATCTGCATGGCATAGGCTATCTGCTCCTCCTCAGTCATGGTGCTGAAATCGGGTATCACGGCAGCGCCCGTCTCAGGCTGAGACACAGACATCTTCAGTAAAGCGTCCTCTGATTCTGAAAGTAGATGGGGGGCGGGGGGGGTTTGATGATGTGTTCTGCTACTCTGCTAGGTGCGATGGGCCACACGTACCATCCGCTGCAGGCATGGACACGCTACCCTCGGCCACTGAGGCAGCCGCGGCTCTACGGGCCTCCTCCTCCTGCCTCTGACGCTGCTCCTCCATGGACACGCGCAAGGCCTACATAAACATGTTTGGGATGCTATCATTGGAATGTTGGTATGTTGCATTCACTTAAGACTTTTCCCTCCCTAAAAAAAACTTTTTTTTTTTTTTTTTTTACACGAATGTTCATAAATCCGAAAATAAAACATTGCACTAAAATAAACGTAAATAACTTTATTTCTGTTTAGAAATTCCATACAAATTACACGCACATCAGAAAATACGTCTCTCTCTCTCTCTCTCTCTCTCTCTCAAAAGTACTGACATCATGTTGCTTCGTCTTACCAGGGCGAGTTCCGGGTCGGCACTGGGGTCAACGCCGAACTCAAAGTCGCTGGCGCCGAGGCCCATCATGGAGCCACCCTCACCGGCAAGGATGGGCGAGGAGAGCAAAGCATCGGCCAGACTGGGTCCTGGGGGCACTGTGACCAGGTGAGAGCCGGCGCCTTCCTTGCCGTTTAGTGTGTTGATGAAGGCTGTCAGCTTCTCTGTGTTCAACTCCTGAATCCGTACGATAACATACCTTCAGAATAGCATTTGGATGTAAAAAGTCCTTTTGCTACCTAACTTTAAAACTACAATTGAGTAAATCAACACTCTTGGGTACAATTTGAGAAACAGTTATTTGGACATTGTAAATATCTTCAATGTCAAATGAAAAATGCATTTGTTTTGTGCCAAAATTAGATCAAAAAACATTTGGAGTTGTTAATGATATTAAAAATGATTCAAGGACACAAGAAAAAAAATCTCACCTCCTCTCCAAAGTTGACAATATCCACATTCACCTTCTCCTTTTTCAAGCGCTTTGCCATTTTGACAAGCTGCACCAGACAAAATAAGATTAATTGGAATCAGTTGTGAATTAAACAAATAAAAACAGCCACCAGACAAAAACTCACTTCTTTTTCGTTATCCTCCACGGGACTCCCCACAAAGGCGATGATCCGCATCTTGTGGTTTTTACCTTGGCGATGCTTTAAGGCCAACTACATAGGAAGACCAACACAGTCTATTTAGTTGTGGTGCACAGACGCCCACACACATCCTGGAGCACAGTTCTATTTGAATGGGATACAAACATGAGCCACTCGAATGCCGGTGCAGAAACAGATGTTCCCTCTGGGCTGGACGGCATGAAGTTTGGACAGAATGCGTCCAGAATCTGGTGTCAGCGTGGTCAGCACCTCACAATTACTTGGAGAAATAAGCAGTCAATTACAGTGTATCCACTGTACATGTATTGGCGACCCCCCAAAAATCTCCGGTAGGGGTGCCGTTTGAGGGTTTCTTACTTGGCCATGGTGATGAGGCCCACGTTGTTCTCGGGGTTGCTGCGTGTTTTCGAGTGACAAACGATGTTAACGGCATCTTGCTGAGCCTGCAGTCTCGTGGGTAGAAAGTCACCATTTCGCATATACTCGCTGTTGTCCACACTGGTGATGGTAATGAACAAACCATTTGATTAGCCAGTCTCATGAGTTTTAGTATTAGTATACATTTTTTTTAAAAATCATTGAAAAGAAAAATGATCACAAATTGTTTTTGAGGAAAAAAACCAGTCATGTACAAATGCAATTAAAAAGTAGTATATATTTCAAGACTGAAGCCATACGAGTGCGAGAATAAAGTTGGATATTTCAAGAAGAAAGTGATTGTAGTGTTATGAAAATAAAGTTGTACATTTTCAAACTAAAAGGTTTTGTATTTTGAGACTAGCTGCAGTCTTTAAGTTTATCCATTGTGAGACAAATAAAGGTTATCTTATAAGAATACAATTTTCTGTTTAAAGAAAAAGCTTGTTGATGAAGAGTTAATACTCTGAGAATACTCATACATTTTTGTGGGAATGAAAAGTATCTTTTCGAGAGAGTCTTATGAGAATAAAGGTGTCTTATATTAGAGGAAAAAAACAACTTTATTTTAGATATCTTGTAGGGGCGGAAAGGTGGGCGACTTGTGTGTGTATATATATCTCGACTATTTCACTAATTTCAACCTTTGTACACCTAAGCGGTCCTTTGAAGTTGGGCCCCTTCGAATTTGCTAAGATTAGCAAGGATGTGATTATTCTTACAGATTTGGCAGTGACTTAAGTGTTAGGTTATGCTTCATACTGAAAAGCTCTCAAATGTAGATTACGTACGAATGAGACGGTATAATAAACATGGTTAGCTCCTAGCAAATGACTCAGCCGCTCCGAGCCGTCAGAATTTCGAATGACATTTTCTCACCCGTTCGACGTGGACATTGACATCAAATTTAACACCCTCGCCCAAAAAAACGTTTATTATTAGTTAGTTGCGCGAGGGGTTTGAGGGTGGGAAACAGAGTTAAAATACCAATGAGGTGCTTCTTACCAGACCATAGTACTTTCGAGCACCATTTTGGAAGCGTCTTGTTGATTCTTTCGGTGGTCTTTGTAAGATCACAGCCCATTGGGTGATAGTTGAGCAAGGCGGCCCATAATTGGCCCGAGTTTCGACCATCTTGTATGTGATTGGTCGATGGTCTTTGTACTTAAAACGTCACCGGTCTAAACAAACGAATCGTCATAAAAAGTGGACATATTTAGGGGCCCCTGGAATTTTATTTATTCCTGCATTTCATTTCGTATTTAACATTTTAAAATGTTTTCGCTTAAAAAAACAGTAGACATAACATTTAAATAATAATACTATTGAATCGTACAAAGATACCTTCATTGTCTCAATGTCGTCTATTTAGTGACAAGCTTAAAAAAAAAGCAAGATTTAGCAAAGGTAAATTTATTTACAAAGGATTGATTAAAATGCAACAGACAGCGAAAATACCATACAGTAATACACACTGTAATGAATACAGGTTAGGATTTTGGTCCATAAGGCATGTGATAAAGGATAAAATAGTAAAGCACCCAAATAGTGTTTTTTGTCACCATAATACAAACTTTTCAATGAACATAATTATTGCACCATTTCCAAAGCCTGAAAATATAATGAGCATACAAAACGTGCATTGTATAAATAACTCATCCTCATTGTTACTTTTTGTACAGTGTATTGCGTCACATCACCAGAGTATTAAAATTGTAAACACACTCTGGAAGGAAAGATATGCGCAATAGAAATTAGCATTAGCATAAATTATTTTCAATGTACAGATGATTTTTGGCGGCTCTGACTGTGTCTTGGCACTTTTTCATGTCAATTTGTGGTGGTTTGTTCCATCCACAGAACAGGGCTGGTATTTCTCCTCCCAAAGTCATTCAAGTCTTTGAAATACACTTAAAAATGCTAAATTGAGAATGAGAACCATCCTTGGTTACAAGTCGAAGAATTCCACTGAGATGAGGAACGAAGCCAAAGGGAATCAAAGTGCAGCTGAAAATGGCATCCCAAAAATATATATACATATATGTTTGGCACCACTTCAATGGAGAGTTGTTTTCAGGTCTTTCCATTCACCTCATTAGATTTAGGCGTATCCGTTACCCCTGCATAACAAAGAAATAAGAAGACTTATCGGGGAATCTGGCAAACAATCCAACATTACAATGCTCCTTTTACACCTCCCAAAAATATGTGGTTCTCCAAGTACCACCATCATGACCGTAAAATTACAGGCCTTCAATGCATTACAAATCATGTTTAATATTATTGTAAGCCACTCTTATCAAAATGAACAACGTGCTTAAATGTAGGAAAACAAAAAGTAGTAGTTCAATAAAAATTGTACCTAAATGTTTTAAAAACAGTCCTTAAAGATTGAG